AGACACACCTGTAGCAGGGCTCAGCTCTGAGCAGGCACCAGCAAGGGCTACAGCTTCTCGCTGCATCTCTTCTGCTGATCAAACTCAAAACCTTAAAGCTTAAGGCCTAAAAGTTTAAGAAAGTTTATAAAGTTTAAATGAGTTCATTCTCTCGTGATTTGCACTTTTATCTTGACAAATTCTTCCTCCCTCTTCCCCCGTTTCTGCCTCTAACACAGCAAGACTCCGACTGATTGACAAAGAAGGTGGCAGAGTGAACTCAGCCGTGTCATTGCGGCTGCCAGAGGGAACCTTCGGAGGTCTGGGACCGTGGTACCAACAGTCCTAGGGCTGAGCACGATTACAGATTCCCCTGGTGCTTCCAAAACACTGATTAAAGTTATCCATGACAAAGAAAGGGAATTGCATTTCACTAAGTACCCATTTTGTTTAATCCCAGGTAGCAATCGTTATGAGACTGTTCAACCAGATCAGAGCAAGTTGGCCCTGATCTGTGCAGTTCCCACAGGGTTCCTCAGGAGCTGGAATTCATTGCAGGACTGATTATAAAGTAGCAATTAACTGCCAGTGCCTCGTGCCACAACTCAATCAGTCAGAAACACACTGCTTTGCTTGAAATGCAGACGATAATTTGACTCGAAGATTTAAAACACAATGGCACAACCTATTTGTCAGCATTAATAATAGACAAGAGCACATGTATTTCAGTCTGTTTAATCTACATGTGAAGTCATAGAGAAAATGTGGTGTCACAGATCAGCTGTGGGGTTAATTGGGCCCCCTGAAGCTTAGGTCCTGCTCTGGCCCTGACTCACTTTGCAGCTGTGGCACAATCCCAAACCTGTGTGCCTGGTGGAGGGTCTATTTGAAATCCCACCTAACAGCTGCCCTTGAGGTCTCAGTCAATAACAGAGATTTGAAAAATTTTATTTTCACTTTTCCATGGCTTTTTTCCCTTCCATAAAACACAGCAACATCCCCTTTGCATCTCCTGCTAGGAGAGCTGATGCTTCTAAAACACTGCACAGGAACAACACCGCATGAGGAAGGTGGGAGTTACCAAAACAGTCGTGTTCTACAGCCCTACCAGTCACAAGCAGCTAGTTTCTATAAGAATCAGATTTATTTCCACAATAACAAGCTATGTGTCTATTAAATGAGGGTTTCACAAACAGCTCCCAGTCTTAAGTACTGTAGTAGCCAATTTTGAGTTGCTCCAACAAAGGAACACTTCTTCACTGGGAACATCTCCGAGTACAAGGTAAGCTCCTCAGCTTTGGATAGCTTTTAATGTTCACAAGAATAAGTTAATTGTTGCAGATTCATCATCTCCCTAAACTCAGCTGAGTGACACTGTTATGAGCATCTCATTCCCAAGAGCTGAACTAATCTCTTAAAAGCATTTAAAAATATTATCTGGTACACCATAATCCCAAATTCTGCAGGAGGCAGAGGGGATCGTGCAAAGTCTCTCTTGAACAGACTTAACCTTCAGAATGGTCCAGTTAATCACAGTATTTGTGAGCCCCAGCCAGTGAGGGTAAGAAAACAAACCCAAATAAGCAGCATGTGGAGCTGGGTCACACCAAGTACTAAGGCTTTTCCTTGCATTAGAGAGGAATGCAAGGTATTCCACATATTATTGACTTTATTTTAAGCGATTCCAGTTTGAGCAGGGGTTTCTGTGTTTGCCCCAGTCATGTTCCAGCATACTGTGAGAGCAATGCTTCAGTTTAACTGGGAGGCACAGGGTTGAAGGTTGAAACTTGGGAGAGATTTACATTTTCAAAGCATTCCTCTTACTGGGATCAACAAAGAGAGATGTGGGACTGTAATCCCAGCTGCTTTTGGCTGTTAATTGTGAATATGTCAGACCCCAAAAAGACAGGCACACTGAGGACTAACTACCATCACCACCTGCCAGGTTACCCAGCCTCACCTGCCCTACAGCACATTTTTTTTCCTCTGCAGGACACTTACACACAGCTTTTGCTTTAAATCATGCCCAGTTAGCACAAGTCTGGGTTTTTCTCCACTGGCTGGACCACAGAGCCCAGGAACACCAGAAGACAGATGGAGAACACGATATGTAAGGATACTGAAGGATGCCAGGGCTGGGTACAACCCAGCTGCTCCTCCCCATCCCATTTCCTCCCCTAAGCAAGTGGACTCACCGTCAGCTGCTGCTCCTTCATGGCCGAGGTGTGGGACGATCCCAGCTCGGGGCTGGGGGATTTGCCCAGGGAGGAGCACATGGAGCTGGAGCCCTTCAGGCTGCAGAGGCAGGAGACTAAACCGTTCAGAGGCAGCAGCCATCACCCCAGGGATGGAAAGGAGAGGCAACACCTGCGCTCCCCCGGGTGGGAGGTGGCTGCAGGCACAGGGAGAGGCAGCAGCAGCACGCTGAGCCCCGGGGCAGGAATGGGCTGCAGGAAGCAGCACCTTGCACAGGAAACAGTGAAAGGGGTCAGAATCAGCAAAATGACCCCCCTAAAAGCCCAAATTAAGGCCCAACTCACTGAGCAAACTTCCACTGTACTGTCACTTCACACAGTGGCATTTCAGGATTCCCACATTCAGGAAGTCAATCCCCTTCAGCATTTTTAGTGTCAGTCCATTCATCAAAACCTATTAAAAAATCACAAAGACAAAGATCACCTTTTGTCTTCATTATTTATTGACAGTAAATGAGCCAAAGCTCATGAAAGTTACAGTAAGGCTTTATAAAAAATATTAGAATTTAAGTAGTTAAAGCTTAGTATAGGAAGCGAACAAAATTTGTTCTGTGAAGTTTGCATTAAGGGCTGTAGGTGGTTAAAAGGTCATGAGAATATTTATTACAAATTCAAAACAAAGACTGTGAGAGTGAAGACTAGCCCAGGATTATATGAATTGGTCCAGTTAATCTTGCTACTTAAGAACAATCATTAAAAATACTTTATAGAACACATTAACAAAAACAATGAGAGATACTATCTTAATGCTTAAGGTTTGTTTCCCTTCCCACCCAAATTCTGGACCTTTAAGGGCACTCAGTGGAGGTACATGAGCTGTTGGAAGCCTTTCTCCCCACCCTTATATAGCTCTAGACAGTACCTACAAACCTGCTTCTGCTTTGACCATCCTTCTGAAGCCCTTAAAAAGGCACAGGCTGAAAACCAGTGGTGGAGAATGTGAAGCTGCACAGCACATGGATTCAATTCAAGATGACTGTTCTTCGCTCCTACAACTCCTAGTGATATTACAAGATATGCCAAAGGGACTGGCTTAATACAACCCCCTAAAGCAATTTCAGTAGCACACAATTTGCAAAAGCATTTGAAGTAAGAAACATAAGACAAAAGATGCAACAGTTGAAAGGAGCAGCGTCAGAAATCCCAGTTACAGACGAGAAAAAGCCTGAGCTGCTGGTCAGGACACCTTATCAACTTCCAAAGCTCCTGCAGGAGCAACAGTTCTGGGTGCTTTTTCTTTGTTGTTTTTTTTTTTTTTTTCCTCACTGATGATTCACACTTCAGAGAAGCATCTTAGAAGAGAACTCAGTTCCTCTGACACTGCCATTACACTTCATTACTTTGAAAACAGTCAGGAATAAAACACCAGGAATAAAACTTCATTGCATGGATACGGGGTAAAAAAAACCTTTCAGCTCAATTTTTGACTTAGAAAATGGTTGAGAAGTCATCTCATCACAACAAAAGGGTAATAAAAATGATTCCTGCTATGTAAGTTCAAGCCATCACTCTTGAGGGAGATGAGGCACTGGAACAAGTTGCCCAGAGTAATTCAGGTGGATGTCCCATCCCTGGAAGTTTTCCAGGCCAGGCTGGAGCTTGGAGCAACCTGGTCAAGTGGAAGGTGCCCCTGCCTACAGCAGGGGGGTGGAACTGGATGATCTTTAAGGTCCTCTTCAAGCCAAATCATTCTATTATCACCAGAGATCTTTGATGTGTTGAAACTTCTTCCTCATTGTTTTTCTAGAAAGTCGTCTAGAAAGTTTTTTTCCAGTCAAGTTGAGAAATGAGCTTGGGAAATACTGTGGACAAAACTTTTAATCAACTCTATGTTTTATATGGATTATGAATGAACAAATGCAAAACACTGGAAACTAATACAGACTTCTGGAAAAACAACACCCTCTGGTTAAAGAGTGAACTATTGAAACTAGGTCACTACCATGATTATGGAAAAATCATCTTGAAAAGTTCCTGGTGAAGGGACCATGGGAGTTAACCAAGGGATTTGTGCATTTGCTATCACAGCAAGCTCACCTAAGGACAAAAAAAAGTGAGTGCTGAAAACACCCCTGAACCAGAGCTGCCTGCAGCTGACTGGGTCTGCCCTGTGCCCAGAGGGTGCTGTCTGCTTCCCAAACTGCCATACAAGGGAGCTCAGGGTTTAGGAAGTCAGTCAAGAGGGATGACCTTAGCAACTTCCCAGGCCAGTCCAGGAGAGGAGACAGGAATATCCTCATTCTCCTCCTGCCCTTCTAAGGGCAAGGAGCAGGCCAATGACAATATCCAGGAAAGAATTCCTACTCATAAACACAAATACAGAGAAGCTGCTGCAACCACCTTCAGGTACAGTTTTCCTCGCTGAGCACAGAGGCCTTTGGAAATGAAACTAGATACTGTAACGGGGAGCACAAGGCATGTGCATACAGAGCACTGCTCTGGAAGTTTGCAAGGCTTAAGAATAAGACAGGCTAACCCAGTAATTCCTGAGGCTTTTATCAGTTTGCAAACAGTTCCAGAAATCCAGTCATTTTCCAGTCACTCCACTAGAGTGAACAGGTCAACTTGACAGATTAATGAGCTGTACCACATTGTAATAAACAAACCAACCACAACACAAAACTGGAAGAGCCACGAGGAACTAAGATAAAGAAATCCAAAAGAACCATATAGTCATTATAGCAAACACACTCTTATTACTGTGGGTGTGTTTGACTTTGATCACTCAGGGAAAGATTCCCTACAAACAACACGTAGCCAGCCTGGTTTTAGTATAGGTCTGCTTTTATTTCCATATTCAGCTCTTTGAGGGAGAGGTATCCTTTCACAATCTGAAAGGAGGAGGATATAGCCCACTGTAGTGCTGCTTCAGCACACTAAGACACATCATACAAGAAATGGTTCTGCTGACTTTTCCCCAAACAAAATGAACACCTGTCCATGCCCTCGGGACACGGAAAGAGTCCTGAAACTGGAACATCGTGCGTGTGAGACAGAGGTGCATTGGTGAATCCCACCTCACTGGCAATAGGCAAAAACTGCCAGCTGGTAAGGACTGCACGGGGCTCAGGAAGTAAATACTGGTAGTAGTGGATTTAAAAAGAAAAAAATTAATAATCAAACCCTAAAAAAAAAAAATAAAAATAAAGAATAAAGATTTAAAAGCAGCGCCTTTCCAGTATCTCGCTGCAGCAGGCAGCAAGACTTAAAGGCACTACAATGTGTCAGAATGGAGAAAATCTGATGCATCCACCCTTCCAGAGTGCAAGAATATGGATAAAGAATTCCAAAGTTGATATAGGCTTTCGGAAAATGAACAAACTTCTTTTCAGCACAAGATCTGGTGGTGCTGCAGAAAAGGAAAGAAGAGGTGAGTTAGTTACTGTGCTTTTATACCAACAGCTCAACCTCTGCCAGCTGGTGAAAGGCTACATCAGCTTGTGTTTCACCTCTTCCTGAACTCATGTTTGTTTAAATCCATACATTAAGCAGCTTCTCTCCCTCTCTCTTCCATAAAAAGATTTCCCATGTAAGGGACACAGATAAGCCAGATCCAAATATATTCGAAGGTATCAAGGCTATTAATTTTTCTACAACTCCAAGAGGTACATGTTTCACTTGAGCTCCTTAAGATATCTGGAGGCTAAAGAGCTACAGAGTGACTTACAGCTGCAAAAGGCATATTTTCAGTCTCCCCTTCCTCATCCTTAAGTGAGATCCTATACATGCCTTCACTAGCAAAGTAGTTTTCCTCCTCAATTCCACATTAAGTTCCCTAAAGGACGTTTCCTACAAGGGGCTGAAAGTAGCCTCCATTTTCAACGTTAAATATATAACATGAATTCACAAAAAGCAACTGGGGAAAGCCCTGGATTAAATAAAAGATTTCAGCAAGAAGCCATGACAGTCAGTACACAAAAATCTGCTACCATCTGAATTCTAGACAACTTCTCTAGAAAACAAGGGCTGAGTTCGCTCAAAATTGTATCAGCTCACAGCCAACTTGCTGTATAATACACAGTATTTAAATGCTGTCAGGTCTTGACATGTAAACCTCTCAAAAGGCAAAATTGCTATCTCATACCAACTACAATTCCTCCTACTGACAGAACTTACAGCGCCTGCAAAACACTGCGTTCAGAGCTTGACCCTGACTGTTGTGGGTTTGATCTCTCTGGCAAAACAGGACATAGAGAGTACTCTGCTCAGTACAACTCATAAAGCCAACTGTCTGCAATTAGTTCTCTAAAAGCTTTTGACCCCTCTAACCACAGAGAAAACAAACCAACTTAAAGAACAATACACCCATGCAACAGACTCTCAAGCAAATTATCTTATCTATAGCAACAGTTGACTGAAAACGTTTCTCTCTACTGAGAGTTATGTTATCTTACCACAGTTTTATTAATTACTCTGGTTCTGCAAGGGTAATAATTTCTTCATTGATAAAAAATTCCACAGTCTCCTCCTCCCAGTCATCAACATTGCTGTCCAGCTCATCTGTGTCTACCCCTGCAATGGAGAAAAATATTAACACTGAATACATCAAACAAGGCAGCAATGGAAAGATTTGATGCTCTTGGCAGAAAAAGTCCTTAAACCAGCAGTGAAAAATGGAAGTACTTGGTGCTTTACCTCATAACAAATGCATGTTAAATTTACTGAATGATAACCAAGGCGTTACTGTCTTCCACTACAGGGCTTCTGGGGATTTTCTGGTTAAATGCAACATCCAAATCTCTTCACAGTTTTATCCCAAGGTCAAGCCAATACTTTCCCCGCCCCCCTTAAATCCCATCACGATTCAGAATAAAAAGTACAAACAACCTTCAGAGCACAAGGGACTCACTTTAGCAGGAAACAGAGGGAGAGGAGAAGTGGAGGAACCCCCAGGACAATGTATTTATTTGGTGAGAAGCAGCAGTTAACCAGCAGCAGCCCTTCCCAAGCCCTGCCCATGGCTCACCTCCGCGGAGCTCCAGGCGCTCGTTCCGCTGCTCCATGTACAGCTCTTGTGCCATCTTGCGGTACTTCCTGAACTCCTCCATCATCGTGCGCCTCCTCTCCACCAACTCCTGCACAGGCAGCAAGAGGCGGTTAAACCTCCCCAGTAAATCAAACCCATGTGCAACACGTGCTCTAGCAAGTCAAACCTTTTTCTCACACACACACACTTCCTATTGACTTGAAAGAATAAAGATTCTCTTCTGTAATCAAAAAGCTGTTTTGATGAGTCCTTTTCTTGTGACTGGAAGAGCTTTTCTTAATTTAAAGACTAATGAAGCAACACACTAAGAACTCCCAAAATTTTACCACCTTTGCTTAACGAGGTAACACGGGTTCCTCTGCAGATTCATTATTGTTTGACTGACACTTCAGCAGCATCTCTCTGAACCACCTATTGAACCAACTCTAACTATCTGGACTCAAATGAACACAGATGATTGTTATAAAATAAATGTAACTTGCATTTCATTGTTACAAAATAACTAAGGACAGGTTACAAGAGTTTCATCTACATTATATTCCAAAAGTATCTTGCCTTTGAAGCTTTGGACTGGCTCAGGCGATCCTTCTGCTCAAATATCTTCGAGTATTTCTTCAGGTCCTTCTTAATTTGCTGTAAAACAGATAATTTTATTTCAATTAAGGTATCAAGACTAGCAATCACACCCATCAGCTTCTCTAAGTACTCCTCTGGCAGGCCTAAGAAGGCTATGCTTTTTTGAAAAACGTCTCCCTGCAAGACAATTTCCCTTTACTACAATTTTGTTTGTTTTTCCTGCCATACGGATCATGTAAATGCTTCTGTACACAGGCAACCAGTGAAGTCTGGATAGCTAAATACAATTTGAGTATTATTTATAACTTTACACTGTACCCTAACTTAAAGAACAACTGGTAACCATTTCTATTTTGAGCTTAAAATACAGTTAATATTTACAGCCATTCCCAGAAGTGAGGTCTTGTACAGAAATATGTTTGTTCACACATTCAGGGCAAAAGGTAGTTGCATAACAAGCCTCATCCTTAAGAAGAAGAAACCAAGTATGCTTATACACCAAATCAATGTCAGCACAAAGTGGAATACACCACCTTTATCTGATCCTCACTGAGCAGGGTAGCTGGTCGTGGTCTCCAGAGCAGCTGACAGAACCTGTCTTTATTGTTTTTCTGAAGCAGACGGCCTTGGAAGGTCCATAACCAATAGGCATTGTCCACCTGGAAGAGAAGTGCACCAGCTCAGCCAAGGTAAGCTATAACTTCACCATGTAGTCCTCACTCCACCTCTTAAGGGTCTTTTTTTAGAAAATCAGCACCATCAGTCAAGAGAACTGGAATGTGTTTTTGTTAGCGCCTTCCCTGCACAAGCCAAAATCCTCAGCAAAATATTTGTTCCACTGAATCTTTTCAAGAAGTTACCTTCTGGAGATTACAACAGTTTGAAACTTCGTCAATCCTCTATCATATTCTAAAGTCTCAGATCCTGTTATTTGTACAGGAGAGGATTACAGTGCAGTGGCTGGAAGCATGCAAAAGCAATGACAGGTGCAATAAATCCTGCTGTTCCGTGCGGACCACCAGGAGACTGAGTTTTAAACTGCTAAAGACGTGGTGAAAATTCAGAAAAAGAACACTCAGTTTAGACTCATGAACTGCCCTTCCAGAACTTATTCTGGACAAAAAGGCATCAGTACCTTGTGGCTCCACCAAGACACAGAAGTCACGATGTATCTGCCCGTGGGATCCCATTCCACGTCTGAGGCCGTGTAGTGTTCCGCGATGTTCATCATGGTGCAGTCGGACGTATCAACAAATGCTAAGGCACCATTCATACTGCAAAGACAAAACAGGACAGATTGTTTTACACACTGATATAGCCTGGTCATTTTTTTATAGCATTTCACAAGCTGCATCCCTAAAACTCCTCAGCACAAAGATAAACTTCCACCGCAACCAAGAGACAGGTTCTGTGGCTAGGAAATAATGTGATGGATGAAAACAAAACTCCAAGTAGGAATGACACTTTTGTTTCTATGTTCAGTGACCTTTAAGACTACAAATAAAATGGCTTAAAGTCAGAGTGAAAACATACTCTAGGCAAGTTAAAATCAAAGCTTAAAAACCACGTGCTTAGACATATTTTAGCAGTGATGAAGAGATTAAAGAAAAAAAAGAATTCTAAGATGAACACAGCGCTTGTCCCAAAGCATGTGAAGGCAAATATTACTCGACTGGTTAATAACAATCATTTTTGCTTGCTCTGAAATGAAGCTCCTGGTAACTATTTTACAAAATAGCACTGTCATTAACAGGTATTGCCCATGAAGGGGCACAAAGCTACAGCAACAACAAATGCATAAGAGCCACATGCATGGTGCAAACTGGATTAGCTGAGAGTCAGTATTTAACAGCTAAAAGGTGTTTCTTAATATCCACTTTTCTGTTGAAAAATACATTCTCCATTTGGTGTGGCAAAAAATAGCAAGTGAAAGGTACAAAGGACTAAGCTACATCATGAAGTTGCACCTCTGCTCTTCCTTTGCTTTTGCAAAGCTGTATCAGGATTACACAGTAATCAACACTCACAGGGACACTAAACACCTCTGGGTGAGATACTCTAGCTCTCTTCCTCCTTAAAATGGAAGTGGTGATGTTCAGCAGCCTCTGAAATACTCACCTTCTGAGGCCAGCCAACACTACAAACTGCCCTTGGGGACTCCAGAATATCGTGTTCGCCTGCTGTTTGTCAAACGTTTCTGAAAACAAACCAGACAAATTCAGAAAGAGATCTCAATCCAACATCATCAGTTATCTTACAAGCATCAACCCCACTGATTCCTCAAAAGTCATTTGTAAACTCTGCAAGCAAGTCCTAACAGCCCTTAGCTCTTCACTTGTACAGACAAAATGCAGTAGCACCAGGACATCCAAAGCTGGCAGATAAAAGAGATCAGAAGACCCCAACACATTCTTGGGAATAAATTTTATCTAAAGTGAGCCAAATCTGTGCTATTGCCTCACATGAGCTTCCCAAAGCCACAAAAATGATTGTGACTCGTAGGCCTTTTATTCCCAGGCACTGGGCTTACTCTGGTAACAGTTTAGTTGTCACCAGGAAGTTAATTTCTGGAATACAGTGGCAGACATAGCAGCAACTCCCACACTACCCACCAAAAACAGCCACTATTTTGAGTTCACTGCATCTATTGCCATGCAAAATGCTTAGTACCTGCACTTTCACTTGGTTTTCGGTCACTTACTTATGAGTTCTATTTTCCCATTGTTTTTAACGTGGTAAAAGGAAACTGAAATTCGTGGAGTTTCTCCATGCAACACAGCAAACTTGCTTCCATTTGGTTCCCAAGCAAAGGCTATGATGCTTTCTGTAAAGAAAAGGAGTTAAAACTCTGTCAAAGGATAATACAAACCTCTGGTTTCAAGCAGTTACCAAAGAAAACCGAGATGCTTAAGAGAGGGAACCCTTCAGTTAATAGACTGTCTTTTAAAACACAGGTTGATAAGGCAATTGCAGGGAGCTATGGGAAGTGTTTCCAACTATAGCTCCACAGTCCTCCATCTTCTACAAAATACAGTCATTATTATATTAATATGTCATTACTAAGACATTTTCGGTTTCATACCTTTTCAAGTCAGTCACAAGCCCCAATAGCAACAGAAGTTTTGATTTCTCATTTTTACAGGAAATGTCCTGCACATTAATAAATTAGCTCCCAAGAGTTAATTCCCTAATTATGTCAAATGCTGACAGGAATTTCTAAGAAACACAGAAGTGTCCATACAAGAGAGTTAAATCTCAAAAGTAAGGAAATACGTGGCATTACCTTTCATTTCTACCACATCCACTGGCACCTGTTTCTCTCTCATGCGGAATATTTCAAAGTTGGTCACTACTCCCTGTAAAGGCCAAAATCAGCTTTTTATCCAGCACAAAAAGAGCAGAGTAAATAATTTTATCACTAGGTGTAGAAGGACAACTACACAATTAGCCTGTCATGATGAGAGAGTCAAGGTTTGTTCCTTTAATGAGAGCAGATACACACCTCCTTACCAAACACATTCCAAATTTCTCTGTTCTGATAAAGAATAAATTAATAATTGTACAAAAGCATTTGTTGCTTTTCAGACTGTTATGAAATTTAATTAGGACAGATAAACATATGGCACATTGTGCTGCGTGAACAGCTGCTTAAGTGTGAGCAGGAAAACAAGTGAGCCACAGAGCTCTCACCCAAGTCCAAGAGGCCACTAAAGTCAAAGCAAATCCTGGATACAATCACTAACACAGATTTTCCTCTTTGCTTCAAATTCAAAAGGGAAAAAAAAAAAAAAGAAAAATAGCTTTTGTGTGATACAGTTTACACTGTCTATATTAAAAGACAGTACTGTCAGCATGAGATACAACCAAATTTTACCAATAAAATCAGAATCCACCTACCTGTGTGCCTTTGGGAGTCCTGTCTACCTTCACACACAGGTAGTCCCCGTTCTTCTGCCAGTGCAGTTTACAATCTACTACGTTGAACAAATTCCGCACACGAATTTCTTGTCTAGAAGGCAGCTGCATCAAAGTCACTCTTGCTGGGATGTCTTTGTCCTCAGGCACCCAGAAAGCAATTATGTTACCACCTGGAGACCATGAGAAATCTCTACAGGAACAAAGTTAAAAATAGGCCATTTTAATTTTTAGTTAAGAGATACTACAAGCAGAAACCATTTTCTCTCACTGTATCTGAATGTTGCAGACAAATATCAACTCTCAATATAAAAGGCAGTAACTGAGGGCAACTTAATAACCTTACATATAACACACCAAACCAAATTTTTAAACTGCTATTTAAATTTGCTATATCACCAATGTTATCAGGACAGTACATTTTACTGAAAAGCAGGGGTGACACACAGAGGGACCACCAAAGATCTAAAACCAGGCTGATTAAACCAATGAGCCAAAAAAACCCCCAAAAACCAACTCTATTAAATTACCCTGGTGAGAATCTTCTTGCACCTGGATACACTTAATTTTCTTGTTGCTTTACAGAGAGGTACTTCAAAAACTCTCACAGGAGTCAGTGTCTCTTGGGCAGACAAGCACAAACCAGGCAGTACACAGCACACTGCTCTAAGCCAGCACACCAACCCTGTTAGGGAGATATTCCCTAACAAACTGCATTCCAGTCTGATTTGGTAGACAAGGAACAGGACTCCCAAGCTAGACCCTGGATTAAGCAGTACCACAGAGCATTTCAAAGCACAGAAGCTGTCAACTGTGTTCACTGATGAATGGAGAGTTTCCCATTTCTTTTCCCCACTTTGTCTAATTTGACCACCTCAGCATAGAAGGCCTTTTGCTCTAGTCAACAGTCTAAAGATTCCCCTCGCCATTACAAAGCCCCAGAAAAAAAGATTACAACTAAAAAGAGCAATCATGTTTACAAAGGAATAGACTCACCTTATCCCATTGATTTTCAAGCTCTTTTTGTCCAACAAACCCATAGACTAAAAGAGGAGAGAAGGATAAATTTTGAAGTTAGCAGCATTCTTATATTTACACATATACCTTCTACTCTCATCACTAGACCACAGAAACTAGGAAATTCTGTAGCTTTCAGAGCTCCTGCATCACTATTTTTTATTATAAACATATGTAACCACAATCACAAACAAAATAAAAATTGTTGTAGATAATTAGTAGGTACAGCAGCCTGAATGATAAAGCAAAATAGAATAGATTAGGCTGCAATTTATAGTGCTTTTTGGGTACTTTGGCACTCATCTGCTACTGAGAGCTGGGAAGAATCACATAACCTTGATCCTACTGATTCTTATAAGTAGTATATTGAGCTGTCTAATCCTTCTAGATATGTAGTGTGAAATTTACTGTCACACTCAGCTAAAGTTTTTCACCCAGCAAAGAACAAGAGCAAATTGATTTCTTCCCTCTCAGCCCAGCTCTAAAGTGCATTACTGAAAACCATAGGAAAGACTGACATTGTAATGCAATAATTATTAAAAAAAAAAAAAAGGAAGAACTTACAGGTGTTTCATAGATGCTGAGGGTATCTGAAGTCATTCGAGCAAAGAATTTACCATCATGACTCCATCTAAGCAAAAAAGAAAAAATAAAATTAATTTGGAACTGCCTTTTTAATAAACGAAGTCTGGGACTACAACTCTCTACTCTAATCCTGCTTCTCAACCTACTTAAAAATAGGCCAGTGAGCTGAGTTTTCACAGTGGAATCCTCGCTTCTTTTGGCCAGTCAGAATATCCCAGATGATGATGGCCTGAGGGTCATCCTGTGTGTCCATCAAAGGGCTGAAGGTCACTAAATACCTACAAAAGAAATAATTAATTTCACAATTGGAACTTCATCCTGTATGTCAGCACCACAAGGCTTTCATCCAAGTAATATTTAAATACCACGCACTTTCAAACAGCAGTTTCTCTAAAGGGATTTTTCAGAGAGGAAGGAAAAATAGGAACAGCACAACAAAGGAGGAGAAAGCTTCCAAGACACAGTATTTCCCTGGCATCCCTCTGGGTGAAAAGACTCCAGATTTATGTGCAAGTCTTCCCATGTTGATGTTACAAGAAAGGGGAACTCATCAAATACACTGTTACCTATCATATAGCTTTGACACAAGAACTTCATTGGTTTTGAACCAAACATGAATCCACTGACCTTATCCAACCCAAACTACAGGTTTGCAAAACTTCTCCATTTAAAGATAGATAACCTCTCTTTAACACAATAAAGCATAAAACCTAACTGCTTCCAAATATCTTATTTGAAAACTATCAACAGAAGATGCATCTCAGTCCTGGAATTATTTTAGCCTTCTCTGAAGAGCTCTTTAATGTTAAAGAAGGCTTAAGGAATTTGTTTCAGCACTACAGATTTGGAGGATGCTACTAATGCCTCATGCTTTTAATCCCTTAGCCCAATGCCACGCTCCATACCTTTCACAAGGTGAGAAGTCAATAAGCTGCACTCCTTGGTGACTAAACCTCTGAATCTGCTTGAACTTCTCTCCACCCCACAGTGCGATGCCTCTCTGGTGGAACGTGGCCAAGTAGGTACCTTTTGGGGACCAACGCACGTAGGTCTCCGTCCACCTCTGATTTAAAAAAAGAAAACACACGCAAAGGTTTAATTTCATGTTGTATTCCCAAAAACAGGGAAAGAATTAGTGTGTGGCTTGCAGCATCACATTCTGAAAATCCATTTACTAGGTGAAGGTCTTAGAATTCGTGATACCTTGGACCAGCTGTGGAGTTTAATTTCATGCACATAAGGTATGTGTACTTATTCTTCAGGTTGAAGACTGTCAGTAGAGACCTTTTCAACTTACTGATCGCCAAAAACATATTTCAGGAACAGTGACAACCTTTGTATAATAACAACTAAACCCACCTAACAGGCCTTGTTGTCTTTCAGCCCTGGTAACAACTTTTCTCAGAAGGAAGGGTATTTCAAATTTCTTAACAACACAGCTCTCTATCTTCAGCTAAGTTAGAGAGGTTTCAGCAATACAGAGCACAGTCAGTGACCATGGTGATGAGCAAATATTCTCACCATCCCAAAGCCAACTTCTTTCTACTGTAATGCACAATGGTTATTAAGGAAAATGCTGCTGGGTCCTAACAGTTCCCAGCAAGTCAAGTGCCTGCAGCAGACAGGCAGACTAACTCTCCCTTTTATATGCCACTACCAAACCAGCTATTCCTCTTTAACACCTCTGTAGTCAGCATAAAAGCAAGAAGTCATCTGAAGCAGCAAACATAGGTACACATTCAGCTCTAATGACTAGTGCTCCTCAAACTCTGACTTTGCATTTCAGGTCTTTCTGAATCACCTGTAACAGAGAGATGAAGGAAACTAACAGGCATCATTCACCAGTTAAAAAAAACCAAACACTACCACAAACTCCAAAAGTTCACTCCACATTTCTTTCACCTAAGCAGCTAAGTCTAATTCTAAATGATGTGGTTTCACCACTCTTCACAAGGAGAAGTATTTCAGCAATGGGAAAAAGATTTTTTTTTAATTAAAAAGCTGCAATGTCATAATATGAAGGAAGGAGACTGACAGTGTATCTGCCATGTACAGCACTTCCAGGACACTCACTGCTCTGTCCTCAATTTGAACAGGTTCCTTGATGTCATTCCAAAAAATGGAGGTCCGGTCTCCTGACTCAAAGATGACACTGTACTGATCCCTACAATCAGGATCTTCCAACCAGTATCGGAGATTCCCCTAAGAAAAAGAGAAGCAAGAAGATTATTAGTGAGTCAAAGGCTAAGACAAGTTCCCCAAATTAGTATCTACCTGGCAGGGGGACGTTGGTCTCACCAGAGTGTGTAACTTTGGGGTCTTACCACTGCCAAGCATGTTCTTGAAGTGAAATTAAAGAACTCCAACTACTGGATAATGGAGGCTAAGAGAGCACATCATGAACAGGTGGACCTTCAAGGTGGTCTGATGATGTTTAATATTTCTTGTGTAAAATATCTTATTTGGTTTGTTGTTAATTTTTTTTTTTAAAACCCTATCCCTTCTTCCACCAGACCATTCACAAAGTTACTGGTAACAAACACCAAAGTTTGCCTCAAACAATTAAAAATACAAAAAGATGCTTTTGAAAATCTATTTTTAAATTATTTGTGCAAAACTATTATTTACTCTTATGCTTTACACTATGTGGAACTACTAAGCAGAACCACAAAGTTCTTCCTGTCACTTCATGGCAGTGAAAACTAAGGAACAGGAGCATGTGATCACTACTGCTACTTATAACACTATGAACACATCGCTTCTATTTTCACATGGACACTCCAGCAATGAAGCAATCATTTAATATTATGCTGAATATTCTTTCCACTTTTCCAGAAATTCCTTACCAAATCCTTAAATGGCTGTTTCTCAGGGATTTCCCACTCATCACTGATTGTCATGTACCTGAAAGAGCAATTAGGCTGGTTACACTCCACACAGGCACTCCTGATTAGAAATCCCAAATCTACAGATACCCACAGTGGCTGCACTCACTTATCAAAGTCTGTGAAAAGGTTGACTCTGAAGGTGTGCTGCTTATCCAGTTTGTATCCATCTGCGTTCTTCACAGCATCCACTGCGTGAGATGGAGACATGTACTCCAGAAAGATGTACCTACAGGGAAGGAAGACCAAAGCAGGAAGACATTGTTGACTACAGAAGCAGCTCATAATAATGGGGATAAATTAAGAATTCAGTACAGAGAATCTACAAAATAACTTGTTGTCTTGTCCCTAGCCAATTAGGGTCAAAAGCAATTAATCTCCATTTTGGCCACAGGCACACATGCACTTTTTAGCTGTACGGGCCTGACCTCAATTAATCAGATATCCTTTCTGAATGGGCCAGAGTCAGTGATGAATGCAAATTCAACACAACACAGGACAACAATGAGAGCCAGGAACAGGCAAGTTATGTCTGCAGCTCTTCCCAGCTGAATGACACATCACGTTTAGGAGTTGTAACTGTTGCTGTCACAGGCACAGCAAAGCAGGACTCTTGTTTCAATTACACAACTCAGCTTCCTTCTGGCCACTGATCCAACCCAGCTGGTAGCCCAGCAGACTGAAAACTAACAGTATCCTGAACACTATCAGACACTGCCTCAAAGAGAGGCATGAACATAGGGACTGAATAATTTTCTCATCCTTCTCACACTGACCTCATAGAACCAACAACCTATCCACTCCACAAAACTCACTTTTTTATGCCTTCCAAATCTGTCTTCCAAACCCAGCTAAACTGTTTCCATAATTAATTCCCGCCATGCTCCACATTGGAGCCTAATGAGCTATTAAACTTCTCAGCTCCCTCATACACTTGTCTGTCACTGAGATGAGATGTCAGGATTGTACAGACTAAGGTAGAAGCAGGTGATAATAATGACTATGAGGTGACCATAAAAACTGGCCATAAAGTATTGACATCAATAACCAAGGCAAAGTCAGAGCTGTGCTTCAATCCTGTTAGTTGGAGTTATCACGACTTACCCTTTTGTTTTTCCGTCTGCTTCTGGATAAAATTCATTGATAATTTTACCAAACTTGGAAAATATTTTGTGGATGACATTCTTCAGTTTCTCAAGTCGGTCTGGCCCAACCTGGGGAACGTTATCCACGACGATCACCGAGTCTATCCCATCTGCTTCCTGTGGCTGATCTTTCAGTATATCACCAAGCAGTTCTGCAAAGACAGCACACACAGGAAACTAAAGCACCCGTCTGCAATGTGAAGGAGGAAGACCAAGATGGAAAGAATAGTGAGAGTAACAGAACAGAACGGCTCCAAATATGAGGAAATTTAAAGAATTATTTAAGAAACTTGGCAGTGAATGAATATTCTATCAGAGAAACCACTGAAGGGAACACACAACACTCCAACAGCACTTCCTGCCTCAGTGACACGATTACGTGGCTTTGTGACAAATTTCAAGCTGCCAACTCTTGAAGTCTTTGTTAAAGAAATACCTTACATTGTGATCATCAACACCTGCACTATTACCTTCTTTTTCAGGAGATGGAACTGACTCACAAAGTCCTCAAAACTGACAACAGCACAGACAACTGTAAGATTTACTACCCAAACTCTGCTCAGTTCCCTTGCTCGAATTATAACCAGATGACTTCGAGGGAAAAAAAAAGTACCATGTACCTTCTTCCTGAATTACACAAGTTTTAGCATAATTCAAAACTATCTGCCATACTGGAAGCTCTGCATGTCTCAGCATCACTATAATTATGTTTAAGAACTCACACTCCTTCTAAACCTTTAATTAAACACAAAAATAAAGGTCTAAGACAAGACACTTAAAGCCATATTCAAGCCTTCAGTGCAGACACAACACACACCTTTTCACACTGTAGATATTCTTCAATTATATTAATTCCTGAATATCTGCAGTAAGTTTCATGTGAAAACCATTGCAAAATACAAGACCACACAGAAAATAAGTTCACGCCACTATACTTCTGAATTTGAACAAAGATAAAACTTGGAAACTCAAACGATATATGGCATTCACAGACAAGGAAAAAAATCCAAGCACAGGTAGAAATATTTAAAATATAAGAACAAACTAAAAAGGGTGTTGGATATGCTGATATTTTGAAGACATTTTTATAGATTTTTGCTGGTTTGGGAACTCTACAAATTATTCTGCCCAGAAACACCACTGGAAAGATCTCCAGCAGTGAAGAAATATGAGAAATATGCTTACTTTGAACCACCAGAAAACCTTTGCTTTCTATAACTTTAACCTTCAACAGGTTATTAACATGATGCTTTGCACTGATCTGGGGCTTCACAAATGTTTAGGCCATTACCACCAAGATTACGTGATACTCACAGAATGTTGTTGTTTGTAATATTTATTACTCAAAAAGATGCTCTCCATGTGCATGTAGGAATTACAATTAACAATATAAAGTATATAAAACAAAAGCATGTCCCACAAGGACATTTCCACAGAAGTCTACAAGATGAAAAAAAAAGGAGAAAAAAAACAAACCAAAACACAAAGGGATGATTTTAAGGCTCCATTTGTCATTTTTTCACAACCACTTCTCACAAAAGACCTTGTAGCCCTTCAGACAAGCCAAGGAATGCGTGTTAAGATTCCTCTGCAAGAATGCAACACCCTGTCTTGAATCAAAACTGTAACAGAGTGAAAACAAATTCCTACACTGTGCCCTTCCTCTGCCTTAAATTCAAAATTGTGAACAAAGGAATCTTCAAAGGGTAAGAAGCTGGTTTAGCCAGCTCTCATTGCACCCAGAAGGGAAGCAGGGTGTGGTGGGTACATGGCTATCTTCAGCTGGCAGTATTTTAAGGACCACTGTCATTATCTGAGCTAAAGCTTCATTGCACCTAAGTGGTTGTCCACACACTCCTTCTCCTGCTTTAACTTGGATCAGCTGTTCTGCCCTGTCACCACCACCCTGGGTAAAAAAAGCTGAGGGAATGGATCTGAGATGGTCCAGTCCCAAAGCTGGGCCATCTCACAGGTGTTCCTGAAGGTGGATGTTATCCTGAGCCTTGATCAGTGACACTGAGGGGTTGCCTTTCTCCTTGGGGAGGCATCGGGATAAAGGGGAAAACAATAAGGGAACTCATGAAGTAACACACAGATGGGAAAGCCAGACCAGCAAGACTGACTAAACTTAAACACTGTAATTCAGCCACTAACACTGGATTATTCATACAGCTGAGAAGTTAGCCAAATGAATTAACAAATAAAATAGGTGAGGACGGAAAATATGCCCAGTTTCTGAAGAAAGAACTGAACATAACAATCTGAGATGTAGACCAAGTGTATCAAGCAAACACTTAACTAAACAAAAAGAATCCAAGCCAAAGTCTCTTTAAGGAACAAATGCACAAGTTCAAAGAGCAATACAACTACCATACTGAGAACAGCAAACACTTTCTTAATCTAAGATATTTGGCTGCTATTTTATTAAGCTAAACACAGGCCTGGAACACTAGAAGGCAGATGTATCACCTCTATTCCACCAATTGAAATAACTGACTGATTTACAGTCACGTGCTTTAGAAACATCTTTCTAGTTCTGATACATGTAAGGGACCCAAAACATGCAGGAGGCACGTAGATGAGTCTCTACAACAGCACATATGCTGAACAAATATTAGCTAAATAAGTGCTTTTGCTAATTAAAAACTAAGACAATTTATCGAGAAAGATTTATCAGAAAAACAGCAAAATAGAGTTCTAACTCCTATATGGTGAAATCAGGTATTTCCTTGATTGTCTGTGCAGTTACACAACAGCTTTGCCATTTTAAGGCAGTCAATGTTCAATACTTTTAAAAGAACCTGGGTTGGAATTATCCACTGCAAGAAACAACTTTTCCCTATTTCCTTGTCACAAACTACCCATATCGCATCTTCATGAACAGTAACTCTTCTGAAACAGTGCTCTTTACCTACAGATTTTACTCTGGATGCATGGGAAAAAAACCCCGAGAACGATGAAAACCCAGTTTGCAACCACCGCGTCAACCATTTAAAACTTCTGGTTTTACAGCTGAGTTCAACTAATGGAGGCAAAGGGAAGGGGCACGAGTTGACGACTCCCCTCTTCGAGGGGAGCCCAGAGATTGATACCTGAAGTTTACCAGTAGATTTTAAAACACCTTTAACAGCATATTTTAGAACAACAGATGTTCTAACGCGATGCAGACCGCGCTGGGTACCACCAGCATCCCCAGGGGTCGGGGCAGAGCGTTCCCAGCCCGGGCTCACCCGGCCCCCCACGGGCTCCCCCAGCTCCGGGCAGGGCCGGGGCTCCCGGAGCGCCCCCGCGGCCCCTCCCGCCCCGCACCTTCGTCGCTGATGTCGTCCACGAAGTCCTCGGGGTCGCTGAAGGAAATCTCGTCCTCGGGCTCGGCGGGGGCGGCGGGCGCGGCCTCCCCGTTCTGCTGCGCCGCGCTGGGCTCGGCCTGGGCCGGCGGCGGCTGCTCGGGCTGGGGCTCCGCCGCGGGCTCGGCCCCGGCCTGGGGCTCGGCCTCGGGCTCGGGCTCGGCCTTGGCGGGGCTCTCCCGGCCGGACGGCGGCTTCGGCTCCGCCGGCGGCTGCTCCTGCTCGGGCTCCTCGGCGGGCGGCGGCGGCTCGGGGGGCCCCGGCGGCGCCTCGGACTCGCCTCCATCATCATTATCCTCCTCCTCCTCTTCTTCCTCCTCCTCCTCCTGCTGCTCCTGCTGCTGCGGCGGCGGCTCCGCCGGCGGCGCGGGCGCGTCCGTGTGCTCGGGGTCCTCGGCGGGGCCCTCCGCGCCGGGTGGCGCGGCGGCCGCCGGGCTCTCCTCGGTGTCCTGCATGGGGGTCGGCGGCGGGCGCGGTGCCTGGTGCTCGGTGCCGGTGCCCGGTCGGTCGGAGGGGGGGGTGCGGGGCGGCTCCTACGGCCGGGCCATGTGCGCCAGGCCCAGCGGCCCGCGCGCGCCGGCGCCTACCAACGCGCGCGGGGCGGGAAGGGGGAGATCCTTGTCCCCGCCGCAGCTCCCGCCCACCGCCGCGGCCACCACTACGGCCGTCTTCTCCCTGCTCCGTGCACAGGAGGGTCTGGACACTTTGCAACCCTTATCTTCCTCAGCGAGCGGCGGCTTCCCCTCGTTTTCACCCCACCGCACCTCCGGCGCCCCTATTTCATGCCTGCTGTGGTCGAGCCCAAGATGGTGCCTCCTTCCATTCTACTGGGGTTGGGCCCGGCCGAACCATTTTTCGGGAGGCGGTAGGCGCCGTGACACTTAACTGGACTGGCACACAGTGAAACCTCCCTGCGTGTGCGCCCGCTCAGCGGATGCCGCTGCTCAGCGCTGCGCAGGCGGTGACAGGAGAGCGCACTGGCGCGAAACCCGCTCCGTCTCCCCCCTACAAACCGTCCGCCATGGGCTCGCCCGAAGGCTGGCGGGGCGCGCGCGCGGGCGCTACCAAGCTGGTGCGGAGAGGGGAGGCGCGGGGCGCTGCACGGACACCGCCGCGTTTGTGCTGGAGGGAGGTGAGCGCGGGGAGCCAGCGCCCACCCCCGCGGTGGCGGGGCCCCGTGGTGCGGTCCGGCGGCAGCGCCACATCAGCCGGGCGAGATGGCGGCGGTGGGGTCTGAAGGGGCACGTCCTCGCACACCGCCTCCCAGCGCTCTGTTAATCCCTACGAGGCCTTTATGGGGTTTAAATAACATTTTCCGTGAGGTACAAGGTGAGGGGGGCCATGCCCTGGCACCGCTGCACGCCCCGGTTAGCGCTAGAGGCCTTCAGAGGGGCGGTGACGTCCCGGTGCAGTCGGACACTCAGTAGGGACAGTGATCTGAGGGGTCACAGTGCACAGTCCTGGCGTTTTAGGATGGTTTTAAAATGGTTTTAAAACTTGTATCTATCTCTCACACCGGCTACCAACGTGGCTGACCATCAGAGAGACCTGGCCCCACGTTATCGATTAAACCACTGCCTTCCGTCCCGGGCACCTCAAGCTGAGGAAAAATACGTAGTGTCACTTTTTCCAGCATGTGTGCTAATACAGGATGTTCGAAGTGCCTAAGGGAACTTGGAATTTGCCTTCCTGAGGTGACAACTGTAGAGGAAAAAGCTCAGAAGAGTTCTCGAGGAAAGTTCTGTGCCCTCTTCGGAGGTGAACACTTGCGTGTTGAGTAGGACTTTTGGTGGTTTAATTTTTTTAGCCCATCATCAAAACAGTAAAAACGCCAGCATTAAAACAAACAAACAAACAAACATGAGAAGAACAGAGCAGGTATCGTACTTGGCATTGTAAATGCAGACCCCGTTGCAGTATCTCTCATGTTTTGATAAAGTCTCGAGGGAAGATGATACGAAGCAAAGGACAGCCCCGTGTGTGATTTATCCGGCAGTCACACGATGGCAGCCGAGCTCCACTCACACTCCGTTCGCCGAGCGTGTCCATTCCTTGCTGGAGCCACGGGCAGCACGTATGAATGGAAACGATGACTGGCACTTTGTGCGGCTATTTTTTCCCTCTCATTATATCATGGTAGCTGACCAGACTTTGACTCCCCAGTCAGCAGAAGCATCGACACGCTGAAGTGAACAGAGAATGCTGTTTCCTGCCATCACAACCACATGTTTCTCCAAATGTGAGGGAGGAGGTGCTGCCATTCCGTTCATAGTCCCAGCTGGGTCCTCAGTATACCATGGCTCTTCAGGAGTGTGTATGTGGTCTCTGTTCCTCGTGTTTCACCACCCCCACAGTTGTCTGTATTGCTGGAATGTGCAATTTCTGCAATTACCTTTCTTCCTGTTTGCACTTTTCCAGTCACTTTGGTTAAACTCTGGATCTAAACGTTGGCTCCTCCTTTCCCTGACTTTGCATGGGCTGTTCTTGGCATTTTCCTGTACTTTTCAGCAACTTCTGATTTATCTGCTCTTCCTTCCTTCCCCCTTTCCTTTCTTCTGTTGAAATTTCCCCTCAGTCTCTGTTTTATCTCACTGCTGTTCTTTTTCCTCCAGTCCTCACTCAGCAATCTGAGGGGAAGTGGAACAACTTTTAAAACCAGATTTTGGCACTGGCAGCTGAAGCCTGTTCCTTTAAGCATTCCACATGCAAAACTCCCAATCAATGGGAAATCTGGGGAAGGAAATCTAGCGGGAATGGCTTTTTATAGCACAAGTCAAACCAGCCTCATGAATTTCACTGTGTGCAGGTGATCTGAGAATAGCGGAGCTGACAGCTCTGCTTCCTAAACTGAATTCTGAAGGAGTAAGCAAGCTCTTGTATGAAATTCTATCTAATACTGACAGGACGTGCCTGGAATGAGGCAGGGCCTCGGGTGGGGACCTGCTTATGCATTACATTGGTCACCTGGACTCTGCTGGTTCTGCCCCGCTCTGGGGAGACCCCCCAGCAGAGCTGCCTCCAGCTCTGGGGTCCCAGCACAGGAAGGACATGGAGCTGTGGGAGTGAGCCCAGAAAAGACACCAAGATGATCAGAGGGGTGGAGCACCTCTACTGTGAGGAAAGGCTGAGAGAATTGGGATTGTTCAGCCTGGAAGTGGGGTGACCTAATTGCAGCCCCTTCCAGTGCCTGAAGAAAGGTGGAGAGAGATGTTTTACAAAGGCCTGGAGTGACAGGACAAGGGGGAACGGCTTCACACTGACAGAGGGCAGGGTTAGGTTAGATATTAGAGAAAAACTCTTCCCTGTGAGGGTAGTGAGGCCCTGGCACAGGTTGCCCAGAGAAGCTGTGGCTGCCCCATTCCTGGGAATGTTCAAAGCCAGGTTGGATGGGGCTTGGAGCAACCTGGACTGGTGGAAGGTGTCCCTGCCCATGGCAGGGGGTGGAACTAGAGGATCTTTAAGGTCCCTTCCAACTGAAACCATTCTGTGATTCCGTGATTCTATGACATGTGCCCTTTTTATTTTATTGTTTCTTTATGCTCGAGGTTTTCCAGAAGCTTTCACTGCAGTTACAGTGAATCTGGAAGTGTTCAATGACTTATGTCAAGCAGAGTCTTTCTGGCCCTGTTCAAAAATTATTTCTGCAATTGAATTATTTTTCACAGTATTTTTCTTCAAGACTCCAAAGCAATCTTCAGTTGAGAATGTCTTATTTATACCAAATAAATAGTTATGCTATTAGCTTAAGTACAGACCAATCAAAAATCTATAGCTAAATGAGAACGTGTTGATTCCTCTATTCATTTTCTCAAAAAATGCTATATAGGCGAAAAATCCTGTGGGGCTTAGTTTTCAGAAGTGCTGAGCATGCAAAACTGCTCTGCTGCTGTACAAACATGATTTGAAGGGCCTCTCAGCTCAAATAATGCCGTGCTTTTCTAATTTTATACCCAGCTTTCGTCTGCACCCACGCTCTGGGACTGAGCTGGAACAGCACTGAGGGAGGAGGAGAAGGAGAATCACTCGACTCATTCACATCTTTGTAGCAGCACAGAAAGTTTCAAGGGGGAGCCTTATGGTTGCAATTACACCTGAAATAATTCTCACTTCGTAATTTTCTGGTTTAGTTCTCTCTGCATACGGTGGACATAACCATTTATCTTCCCATGACTAAGAAATATCAGGAACATTAATTAGTGAATGCATCCAATACTTTGGATATTGAAAACATAAAGCCTTATTATGGATTGGTAATATCTCAATCTGGAGGTCCAGAATCTATACAGATTTTTGCTTGTTTGATGGTGTTTTCAGGAAAACCATATGTGCCTTACATTTCATCAGTGTCAACCATATAAATCCTGACTAATAAACTACAGGAAGTGGGGGGAAAAATCAGTAATAAAATGAGAAGTGCTCATACCTGCAATTCTTATTTTTATGCAGTTTTGGAAAGGGTATTTGCATTTCAAATGCTCATATTTCTGTGCTTTCCTGAATAGGTTAATATTGATTTTTAGCATATTTACCTGTATTAGTGCATTCCTTCAGGAGCATAGCACAAAATGTACAATGGCGTTTTCTTTGAAAAAAACATTAAATAACTACTTTCAACTTATCATTAAGAATATCTCATAAAAATCCAGATGCATCCAAAATATAGAAATATATTGAATATAGGAAACTTCATTAATTGACTAGATGGCAGCAGAACTGCCGTGGGGAAAGGGAACTCAGTGAAAGAAAATATACCAAAATTGTCTGGGAGTAATTAATATGATGAGAGGACATAGTATTAATCTCACCAGGAAAGGTTTAGGTTGGACGTTAGGAGGCATTTCTTCTCAGAAAGGGTGATTAGACATTGGAATGGGCTGCCCAGGGAGGTCGTGGAGTCACCATCCCTGGAGGTGTTAAAGGAAGGACTGGACTTGGTGCTGAGTGCCCTGGTCTGGTTGACAAAGGTGCTGTTCTGTCTTAGGTTAGACTCGGTGATCTCAGAAGTCTTTTCCAACTCAATTGATCCTGTCATTCTCTGACTTAACCCCCAAAGTACAGCCTCAAGAACAATTTATCTACTTTTCATAGCTCACAACAAAGTCTCCCTGAACTTCACATTCCCAACAACTATCCTTCTCAGATTTCACAAAAAAAAAAATCAGTTACATTTCGGAATAATCTCGTGTTAAGCCCGTGAGCCGATCGCTTCTCTTTATATGGTTTAAGATGTTTGGAAGATTTGCTATTAAGATGTTTGGGAGATTTGCTATTAAGATGTTTAGGGGATTTGTTATTAACCCCGCAGCGGTTCCGAAGCGCTCGGAGCCATCCCGTCAGCGGCAGGGACGGCTCGTTGCCCCTGCGAGAGCCGCGGGGTGCTGCTGTGCGGGGGACACGGTCGCGCAGTGGTGGCATTTGTCACACCCCCGGCGGGCACAGCTCCCCGGGTCACCCCTCGCCCCCGGCCCCGCGGGAGGCGGCTCTGCCCGCCCGCCCCGCCCGCGCTCACGGGCGGGCGCTGCGGAGGAAGGGGAGGGGAGGGGAGGGGAGGGCGGCCGCGCCGGGCCGGCCTCACATGACCGCGGCCGCGATGGACGGCGAGCCGCCCGCGGGCACGGCCGGCACCGGCACAGGTACGGGGGGACACAGGGGGATGTGTTTGCGGCGGGGCCGCCCCCGCTCCGTGCGCTGCCCGCCCGCTGCCCGCCCGGGCGGTCGGGGCCGCGCTCCCCGCCAAAACCGGCGGGGAAGCGCCGCCGCCTCCCCTTGCTCGTCCCGGGGCGGCGGGGCCCGGCTACGGGCGGGGCTGCCCGCGGCGGTGCCGCTGGGGGTCCCGTCCCCGACCCGCGGTGGGCTCTGCCCCGCGGGGGTGAACCGGGGCGCCCGGGCCGGGGGGTTTGTACCTGCCCGCGGAGGTCGCCCCAGTGCCCGGCTCTGTGTCCGCGCCGGTGTCCGCGGGCGATGAGCTGCCCGGAGCCCTCCTGCGGGGCTGGACGCGGGGCCGGGGCGCGGTCCAGAAGTTCTCCCGTGGGGAGTCACGCGGCCGAGCGCTCCCTGCGCGCTGGGGACACTTCATGTGGCCCCCGGTCCCCGCCCGCCGAGCTGGACCCGGGCGCGTTGGAGCCGTTCCGCAGCGGGGCGATGGGGCAGACCCCGCGCCCGCCCGAGCGGCACATCCAGCCTGGAAACGCTGGAGTTTTAGGAGCGTGCAGCTGGATCTGGGATGGAGAAACTTCGCAGCCAAGTGCTGCCAGCGCTTGTTGCGAAATGATAGATGGAGGGAGCTCCTGGGTGAATTGAGGGAATAACATGTTGGACTCAACGTTTAAACTGAGGGAAACTTTTAGAGGGAAACAGGGTAATACGGTTCTCTAAAGTTCTCTTTAAAGTGGCTAAAGTTTTGTACCTGCTCCATGCATAGTGTGGGTTTTTTTTCCTCCGTTTGGAAAAGAAATTGAGTAGAAGTTACTAGTAGGTGAGCCTAATGCAGGGAAAAATGGTTTGGTTGGATTATATTCAGGATCCAGTGGGTATGCTTTTGTTAGGCCTGTGATGCTCCTGATGCAGATAATGCTTATAAATAAATTATTTTGGAATATTTCTGTCCAGGACTGATGTAACATATTGAGCAGCAGCCTTTGTGGAAAAAATGTCCTACTGTACCAAAGAGAGAGCTTGCTCAGGTATGTCTGTTCTGGATTTACCATCTGCTTCAGGAGCCTAATAGAGATAAAACAGTTGCTTCCAAGTGGAGTATTGATCTGATTAACTTCTGGTGATGGTGCTTCTGTACCTGTCTAATCTACTCAGCCCCGTTTAGAAAACTTGGCTTTCTTTGACAATGATTATATGGTGAGCAATGAGAGGAGGTATCTAATGGTTTTATGTAAAGAAAAATAATGCTGTGAACGCAGGAACGTTTTTATTTTAAGCATCATGATGAGGGTTCAGAGATCTTAGAAGTTTCACACCCCTGTGTAATTTTTGGGGGGATCAGCAGCTCCTCAGTGAGTATTTTGGGAGGATCTAAATCTCCGGAGTAAGGAGAGTCCTGGCAGGGATCGTTAATGCCCATCTAGGACAGCACAAACAAATGCTTTTTGATTTTGCAGAGTTAAGAGTACTTTAACACAATCAAGAGAAAGAAGAAAAAGGATAATGTGCAGTACATTAAAGTCAGTTTTGCAGTTGCTTTTATTGACTTTTCTTTCCTTTTGCTTCCATTTGAGTGTTTTGCAACGATTACAGGGAGCTGATCCAGGTGTGTTGGCTGGGGAGGGAGGGGGTTGTCTCTTTTTCTTCTAATGGTGAATCATTAACTGTGTGTGCAGCCTGTGGAGGGCTTGGTGGGGAGGACTCTACAGGTTATAGACAGTATGATTTGCACATAAATAGTCTGATTTCCCCAATAGTCTTCAAGTTTTATGGGTTGGTGCAGGTTGATGGAGAAAAATTTACCAGTTACAGACATGTGGAACTGGTAGAAAAGGAGGGGGAGCTTTGATAATTACCTTTCAACAGTATTTGGGATGTGAATGAGCTTCTCCTACCTGTGAAATGTGTGAAAAGACCACTGGGAGGCTGAAGTGTGTGGAGTGGCAATGCCGTTTTTTTAATGCTTAAGTGCTGAGATCAAGTTTTCCCCCAGTGTAACTGGGAAGGTGAGAAACACGCAAGGAAGATGAGAAGCAAAACAAAGATAAACCATTTCTTCTGATGGGATGTTCTTGACCTGTGTAAGGACAGATGGTTGTGGAAACTTGCCAGTTCTGTAGTCAGGCTAAAATGTCCTTGCAAAAATTTCCCAGAGATTAGTTCCATGGGTTGTTGCTTGCCGGGTTACCGTTTTGGGTGTGAATTTTTACACTTCCAACCTCTTTGTGAGAAGTGGTAGTTTAGAAGTCTTTCACTGTGAGCTGGGAACATGCCCTAGTGAGGATTTGACTTTTTGTCTCTGTAATCCTTGGGCACATTCCTCCATGGACTTTTCTCTGCTAATCCTGTTATTTCTTTAAAGTGTGTAGCTCCATCTCACTTTATTGTGTGTGCTACATCTGAGGACTGTGGCTCAGGGCTGACTTGTGAATGGAATGTGTTCCTTGTATTCCCAGACTTGGGAAAGCAATCAGTTGATCTAACAGCACAGATCAAAAGAGCAGGGTGCGAGGCTTAAAGGTAGTTCTTTACACACAGTAAATCTATGTTACATTGGAAGGGGGTAGCTTGCTGTTGGGTTTTTTTTCCTGCTGGAGTGTGTGACTGTGATATTTTGGGAAGCAGTTGGAGGCCTACGACTGTAGGGGAATGCAGAAATGCAGGTGCTTTCAAAATATTGTTAAATAAAGCTATAGCCTCAGCTATTTTTTAGCTGTGCTGTTGCTTCTCCTTTTCAATTTTAAAAGCACCAAGTGCTGAATAACAATCTTAAACTTAGTTGGAAAAAAAACCCAAAACAAAAAACCACCAAAAAAACCCCTCCAGAAATGAAAACCAAATTACCCTCAATATCTCAAAAACAAAGGAAAATATAAAAACTTAACCAACCAACCAAAAAAAAAATCCCCAAAACCCCAGACCAGCTATTACAGGGTACATATTTGACATCTGCACTGAGAAAGCTGTGGTGATGGTTTTTAGTTGTTTTTTTTTTTTTAAGGAGAAAAACAAAATGTTGGAGCCTACTTTCCAACATCTAATTTTATGATAGTATGTGTGTTACTTTATCTTGTCTTGTTTTTTTGGTATTGGAAAGCTTGTATTTACAAGGGAATTGTTGGGAAGGAGAAGGAAGGGCACTCTTAATTAGAGTGAAGCTAAATATAATTACTTTTCTTGTACCTAGTAAGAAATACAGACCTGCCTTCCATGTTGAACTCAGAGCTGTGGAGCAGTTGGCTTTGTTACATAGACTGATTCCTTTGCTTTGCTCCTTTCTAAATAAGAATGCCATGGTTTTAAGTTCCTTAAAAAACCCCAAACAAGTTGCATACAGTTGTCTCAAAAAATATGTAAAGCCTTTAATAGGAACAAAGTTTTGTTTGCCCTTTTTTTTTATTTTTTTTTTGTGGGACTTCTGTTTTTCTTTTTGTGTTTTTAGAGGATTTCAAATTATGTAAGATTTTAAAAAAATAAAACGAAGAAGGGAATCTATTTGAGTTTGTAGTTGAAATCTGCACCAGCTTTCACAGAGGCTGATGTGGACACTGGATTCTGGAATTATGGAGGAATGTGTTTGATACAATAAGGGGGAAAGGCATTTCCATAATTCCTGAGGCTTTTCATGAAAAGACAGAAAGGAAGGGGAAATGCTGATGAATGATATTTACATTGCTGCTTTAGAATTCCTGTCCCAGGAGTTTGTAGTGGAGCCCTCATTTTTTCCAGGGAGAAATCTGAGGTATCTGTGTACAAAACCAGTTTTTGTACTCCTTTGTGTTTCCTGTGGGTTGGATCCCCTCTGCTCCCCACAGCTGTGGTCTGTGAGGGTGGAGAATAAATCTTAGCTGTTATTCCTAAAGGTTTTACTTCCTTTCAAAACTCCTTCCTCCTTCTAGAAAATATGCTACTGATGTTACAAGTAATTCTCTGGCACCATCTGCTTAATCGTGTCTGATAAATTTATCTGATTAGCACCTGGTGTAATAAAGAGTTTGTATCAGCCATCAGTAAAATGGAGATAAGGCCTCCAAATTTGATTGACGGAGCTTAACTAGGGAAGGGAGATGGGTGGTGTGATTTGCTCCTGAGCTTCCAGCCCTGGCACTGCTCCTCTCTGCTGTATGTGCTTCCATGTAAAACCTCTGTGCAGCTGACCAGATACTTGGAATTCTACTCTGGCTTTCATAAATGCATGATTTTAGAAATTTACATGGAGGAAACTGGTCACGGTGGAGGGCAGGTTGGTGCCTGGTTGTATCACTGGAGTAGTGGAAGTCAGGTGCTAACTGAGGTGTGAAATACGTGGTCTAAAGTGGAGAAATTTTCTATTTTAGTTGTTCTCTGGGTGAGTTTCTCAACTCCCTTCAGTCCAAAGGCTACCTGACTTGGCACAAAAAAAAAAGAAAGTATTATACAGTGTTTTCGTTGCTGTTTTCTTTTATGATGTAACAAAAATTAGGCCACGCTTTGAATAATTCTTCAGACTTTTATTTCTTATCATCTTGTTGTCTTGTTTACATATGTGTGTTTATATGTATTATTTTTAACTTTCATATTAACTTGTTTTCAGTTATATCAGTCCACTTCCTGATCTCTTATTGACAACAGATTGAGAAACTGCTGTAGCAAGAGTGTAGCTTGCAGGAAAAAACTGATTTTTAGTTTTGTCTGCTTCCCAGTGTTCCAGGGGACCATTCCATACCTCGTTTCTGTATTCACTTGCTGCTCTCTGTATATAAACTTCACTAGATAATGATCTGCTGAAACCAAAGGGAATGTTTTCAAAATTAGCTGTTCTCCAGCAGAGAGTGCGTGATGGGAAGCGTTAAGTGTTCTGTTACAATGCATGTAAATCCTTTTACTGGTTGAACACAGGAGCTCATACCAATGAGTTCCCACTATTATCCACCATTCCTGGCCAGGGCTCTTGAGGCTGTTCTAGAATAGGCTGTTTAGTAAGTAGAATGAAAAATGGGCTGAAGAATAGCTCCAGTATATATTGCTCTGTAGGGTTAGTGTTAATGCCACGTTAAGTGTTTCCTAAAACAGGTTAACAGCTGTTCCAAAGTCATCTTATTGTGTTATCAGACCAGAGTCTGAGGGTGTAGATTCAGTCTGAGTAGCTGTCTTGTTGATAGCAGACACGCTGAGATTATTAATTAAACAGTAATTATTCAAACTTGTTTGCATGGTTGTCTGGTTTGTGTGATTTCACACGTTTAGACAAGGTTGAGGTGTAAAGAAGCTACAGAATATTTCAGGAAGAGCCAAATGTGTGAGCTGCTGATAAAGAGAAGGTATTTCCTGTAGGTGAATTTTAGAAAGCAAATTTAGAGAATAACTTGATGAAAACTGGAGAAGAATTACCAAGAAAAGAGCAACATGGCTGAATTCTCAAAGAAATGTGGAGTCTTGTCTGGATCTCTGGGAGGCTTCACTCTGTAGATGTCTTAGTGGGTAATGTGGATTCAGATCACTGTAATGAATGTGAGAGTCCTCAGCATCACTTTGGCTGATTGTGCTGCAGGTTCTGGGTGTTACAGATGAAATACTGAGAGTTTCATGGTTCATCCTGTATTATCTTTTCTTCTGATACCTGTCTTTGCCACTGGGGTTTCAGTAGTTTACCAGACAGTGCCGAGCCCAAGGTCAGGGACCAGTTTATGCTGTGAAAGCACTGCTTTGGTGGTTGTCCAGCAGAAGGATGGGAAGCAGAGACAGTGAATCAATAGGCAGGAGAATGTTGTGTCAGTATAGATTGGCACTGCTCTTAGGGAAGAAGTTGGGGTGTACTTTGAGTAGCCTCTCCTGAGGAGGCCAGCTTGGAGCAACTCCCTCTGCAGCATGAGCCAGTGTTGAGCATCACAGAGGGCTCTGGAATTCTCTGTGTGTGTGTGTGTGCGTGCGTGCGTGCGTGTGTGTGTGTGTGTGCCTTGGAGGAGTAACAACATCTGCTGTGTCATGTTGCACTTCATTGCTGTGTCTTGAGCAGTTAAACCCAAGAATTCAAGGGTGCACACCCAGAGAACCTCTGCTCTGGAGGTCCAGGATGCCTTGTGCTTTCCACAGTTCTTTTTGTGTGTATTTTTGACCCTTCTTCTTGATACTGTGATTTATTGCACCTTGCTGCTCCGTGAAAGGTCAGACGGGCAAGGATTTTTCTACACAAGAAAATCTTTTGCCTTGAATTTTCTTTCCTTTTTCTTTCAGTTCAGCATCTCTCTGAAAAGTGGCTGTACAGGTGTTATCACTTTATCCAGCAGTATCCCATGTCAACATTGAATTAGCTTGCATTATTTTACTGCAAATTTCTGGCAGGTAACTGGAAATTTTTAGGAGCTGCTACATAGGTGGGGTTAGCAGGTGATATATATTAGTCTAATAAAGCAGAGGTGTTAAGACTTGCTTCTCTGAGTCACATTAGCAGGCATCTGAAGCCTGATGAGACATGTGGAATAAGGTCATTTGTCCTGGATTTGGTTTCCTTAAGCCATTTTGTGAAGCAAATAATGAAGAGTCTGCCATGTATCTGAGGAACTGAAGATTATCTGTTTTCCCTATTTATCAGGGCCTGGAGCACATGAAGGAGCAGGTGGGAAATCCTTATCAGGAGGAGGTCAGAGTCTCAAGTTAAGGATATGAGTTCTTATCTTCCCTGAGTTTATCTCTTACAAAGTTAACAACTTTTTGAACTATGTATCAAAGCTTAAAAAAATGCTTATTGCTTCCATAGTGTTACTGTCTTTTTGTGTTCTCAAAACTGTAGCTGTATTTAAGAACTTCTGCCCAATGGCAAGGAAGGGATGATGAATCCTACCTGGCTTTTCTGGGTACCTTTTCATCAGTGGATTTGACTGAACTCAGGTATGGGCTGAATAGGTTCCAGGGTTATACCCACATCTTTCACACTGATTCTTATGTGTAGAATGGGTAGAAAAATGCTTTGAAAACTAATGTAAGCTTAGTTTACAGCCACACGGTAGTGTTGTTATGAAGTCAAATTGAGATAATGGACTCTGGCCAGTCACTTGATTACTCTGAATCATCAGCTTTGCCCCTTCTTTGATGTAGTTTGTCCTCTGGGGCCACATTCTTAAGACCTATCTTTTTTTCACTTTGCATCTAGCAGAGGATCAGTTAGACTCTCTCTGTGCAAAGCTGCCTAGCTATGATTGAATTCACTGTTGAAAGCTGTTTGTTTTCTAGCTGTGAGCAGTGGAATAGGTTGGTTTGAAAGATTTTGAGGAATTGTTGTGTTGGTAGCCCTTGTTAGGAACCCTTTTCCCCTGCTCTTGAACTTGAGCATGTTGACATAGTAAATTATTGTAATTCACACTCACTGTAGCATAGTGTCAGAGAGTTTAATAAAATTATGCCAAATGAAGTGTCTCCTTCCTTTGTAATGACATGCAAAATTAATGGATTAAATTTCTGCAGAGCAGTAAAATGACACATTTTTCTTTCCTTCCATGAGTTGTTCTAGGCAGGATCCAAAAGTGCTGAGCTAGGGTTTCGTTCATTTTGGCAGATCCTGCTGTGGACAGACAGGAAATGCAGGCCTCTTAGCTGATTCACAGAACAAATTTGGCCTGTGATTCTTTGCTTAGTAGAGATGTCTTTCTGACTCGATATAATTGGTGTTGCTCCCGGGTGTTGTGAGGAGGGAGGTACCAATGTCTTGAACGTGTGTGAAGCAGCATAACCTCCCGAGGGAGTGGCCTGGCTGATGTTCTGGTTGTGTTGCACCACTCTGGGAGCACCAAGCAAGGGAACAGGATATTTTAAGGCTACTTCTTTTACTGTACCTTATCAGGTCTACCGGTTTTTTTCCCCTTTTTGTCTTCTAGATTTGGCAAAGCCTCCAGTAAATGAACCAAGGGAACCGGAACAGTTTCTAATGCAGACGCCCCAGGGAAATCCACTGCTGCTTTCCCACACCCTACAAGAGCTATTGAGCAAGGATAGCGTGCAGGTGGAGCTTATACCTGAGAAGAAGGGCCTTTTTCTGAAACATGTGGAATATGAGGTTTCCAGCAAGGTAATGTGAACAAGCTCTGGGCTCGGTGAGAGTGTATCCTCTTAACAGTGTCTGTGCAGTTGCTATTGGCAAAGTCTTGGCTGATTTGGTCAAGGTGTGTTGGGTGATGCTGGTTATAGGTTCTTCTCTTGGTGTAAGAGAAGATTGAAGATGATTTGCCTTTTCCTGTTTGTAGTGCAGCCAGTGAAATATGTCTCCAGTAGCTTCTGTGTGGTTTTTTTCAAGGAGGAAACATGTCCTCTTCCAAGCAGACCATGTGTGATTGACACTTCCCAGGCCACCAAAACATCAGTTATTGAGTAGTGCTCAAACTGTTCTAGTCATTGTTGTATGTGTTCGGTGACACATTTGGGTCACTTGTCTGCAGTGACCTTTGGGGCTTTAGGTTTTTTAGGGTGATGTCCCTAAGTTTGTCAAAGACTTGTGAGGGGAAAGGGCAGACGTGGTGAATGCTTCTGTGGGCTGTCTAGGAATGGATGTTTATTTTTGCCTGTGATTTCAGGGCACAGGACTCAGTGACCCTGGTGGTCCTGCAAGGTTTTGAATTTAGGAACCCATGACTGATTCCTTTCAGTCACTGTCATGTCTCCTGTGGCTGTGGCTGTAGAATGATGCTGCCTCAAAAAGAAGTGTAGCTTGTCCTTGAGCTTCATCTGAGATCTACAGCACAAACCAACATCAGGTTTCAGAGCAGACTGAAGGGAGGCCCTTGGGGCTGTGTTTGTTGGGCTCCAGTTGGGTGTCTCATTGCTGTATTTTGGCACAGTGCCACTGTAAGTGGTGGATGACGTGCAATCCAAATGTAGTGAGGATGAGTAGAGGGCTCTGTAGTCTTTCCTATTAGTGGTTGAATCTGTAATAATAGTGTGGGGGTTTGTAGATTATTTATTTATTGTTTTTAGAGGATTTCTGCCTCCTAAATGTCTTGTTCTAGCTGCTACCTAACTCCTTTGGGAATGAGAAAACAGTTTCTTTGGCCTCTTCTACATATTGATCTAAGAAATGCAGCATCAAGGCCTAAGGTTTTAAAGGAACTTTCAGTCTTTGTTTATAGCTCTAACATCAGTGTGAGGTCTCTCCTCTTGTGAGGTTCACTTAAAACATCAGGCATTTGGGTTGAGTAGTAACTTAACGTGGTCTAAGACTGTTTTGCCACCTCTGGATTTAAAACCGATTTAGAGAAAGATCCTAAGAGCTGGAGCTCAGGGACTTGCAGTACTTCAAGAAAAGAGCTCTCCAGAGCACTTTAAAAGTGTCAGCACTCTTTCCCAATGTTCTGTCTAATTTGGAAGACCAGAGAGTTTGAGGGGGTAATGCTATGGAACCACGGCAGATTTAGGGATATTTGCAATTTTTTGGGAAACACTTTCCTCTCCACTTTGTAGTCATTTTCATCTTGTGTGTGAATAAAACCAGACTTATGTTTTGAGCTGAAAGTCTTATTCTCAAAAGGACTGTATGTGGTGGGCTCACCCCGGCTCGACATCAAGTGCTCACCAAAACTGCTCTATTGCTCCCCTTCTCAGCTGGGCAGGGGAGAGAAAATGCAAAAGAAGGCTCATGGGTTGAGATAAGGACAGGGAGAGATCACTCACCAGTTGCCCTCATGGCCAGTCCAAGGGCTGCAGGGGCACAGCTGTCTCACCGTGGGCTGCACCCTGGGCTGCAGGGGAACCTCAGCTTCAGTGCTGCCCCTCCTTCTGCACTGACCTGAGGGGCTGCAAAGCTGTTACTCTCACATATTCTCACTCCTCTCTCTGAGTGCATTTTTCTTGTGCATTTTTTTTTTCTCACATACGTTATCCCGGAGATGCTGCCACCATCACTGATAGGCTTGGCCTCATCCAGCAGCAGTTCCCTCCTGGAGCTGTCCGGCGTTGGATCTGTCAGACACGGGGGCACCTTCTGGCTTCTTCTCATAGAAACCACCTGTGTAGTCCTCCAGCTACCAAAACCTTTCCATGCAAACCCAATACACTGCAGTTAGAAGAATTCCATATCTGTTGATAATCAAGCGATGGCTGCTTTTAATCTCCTCCCTCCTTCCCACCACAAGGCCTCCAAAGAGAAATAGGTCGTTTCTGCAATCTGGTTATGATTTCTTTCTTTTCTTCCTTTTGCATTTAGGGCAGCTGATAGAACAAAAAAAAAAAAAAAAAAGGAAATGGTGCTGCTGTCTAACCTGTGAATTGACTTGTTCTCCCCCTTCCTTAATTGCAGAGGTTCAAATGCTCAGTCTACAGGCGATACAATGACTTTGTGGTGTTCCATGAGATGCTGCTCCAGAAGTTCCCGTATCGCATGGTGCCGGCACTGCCACCAAAGAGGATGCTGGGAGGTAAACCTGGGTCTTGCTTTTTGAGTGCAGGTGCAACCGTGGTCAAGGTGATACTGTTAAAAGTAAATGTTTAAAAGATTGAAAGTCTTTGCTTCTGCTTGGCTCAGAAAACAACTTTGATGTTATAATACACAATTTTGAGGTGTGAATTATTGCCGTCCTAGAAATTCCTATAGGTGAGATATTGATGTGAAATTTCAGTGGGGTTTCTTCCTGTGGAATGACTTTCCTAATAAGATTTTAGGTGTAATTCTACACAAGAGCATGGCGGAGCTGCAGGTATTGGTTTTTAGAAAAACATGTTATGATGATCATTGTTTAGTGGTGGACTTGGCAGTCTTAATTTAACAGTTGGATTCAGTGATCTTTATGTTCTTTTCCAATTTAAATGGTTCTATGATTCTATGATCTTTTTAGCATAACCAGAAACTGAAACCTGAGACTGGAATCAGTGTCAGGTCATTCAAGTACACTTTAGCTGTTAGCCTAAAAACCAGCATCTCAAGACTGAAGCATATCAAAGCTCCTTCAGGAACATTTTTCATTAATCTCAAATATTGACACTGATTTTAAACATAAAATCCCATCTTGTTTAATACTTAATCTGTGAAAGAACAAGCTTTTCACTGTCTCCTCCCCTGCCCATGGCACTAAGCTCACTGTGTTTCAATAAATAATTGATTTCGGTTGATGAGTCCGTGCATTGCTACAGTAATTGGTAAACAGTGAGCAGAACAGGGTGTATAGTGAACTGGAAGACAGCAAAATCCTGGCACTGAAAAGCTCCAGTGGCCTTATGTTCTTGTATGGAATGTGAATTGTGAAGACCTTTCTTTTGGGGTTGCGAAACCCATCTGTTGAATTGAACCTGATTCAGTGTTCCCAGCCAGAGTTTCCAGAATTTCGACTTCATGCAACACCTGTGAGCAAAGCAGCCTTCTCTGATTAATCTCAGTGGAGAGAGGATGTTTGAAAGAAGCTACCAATATATATATAATTTGTCAGTCAACTGTTACTTCCTTGTGTTGCCACTGTGTTGATATTTCTGTGCATTCACCAGTGCATTTCTTCCCATGCACATCGTAAGTTTAAGAAAAAACCTGATAGGATTAGTTCCCAAACTGTGCTAGGAGACCAGTTCTAATATAGTGCAAAGCTGTGATAAGGCAGAGAGTGCTGATTGCCTTTAGTCCAGCGACTCTGCATGTAGAAGAGCTGTGGAATTGGGCTTAATGGGAACTGCAAACAGGAAAAAGGAAATGGAGTGGGTAGTTCTTGTTTCTGAGCAGGTTAATGGACTGACAAATAGAATTGCAGGACACAGGATTTGATGGATTAGCATAGATGTGTGACTCTTGCAACTTCCAAGTCCCAGAGCCGGATGGGCAAAGCTCCATGCTTTGTCCTTGGTGTGCTCCTCTGCTGAGTTACACTGATCCTGATGCTGCTCTGCTCCCCTCCCTCTGTCGTGTGAAGGAAGATTGTTCACCTGCTCTGCTCCTTTTGGAGGACAGCAGCCAGCTGGGGCAGATCCTGCAGAAGTGTGTAGGTTATTTCAGAAATGTCCACGTTGGCTGAAGTGTGAGCAAGGCCAATCAAGATCTGCAACCACAATGACAGAAAAAGGAATTGGTGGGTGATACTGTACTGAGGATCACTAGTGAGAGTCCACACAGCCAGCAAACTGCCAGCTTAAAACTGAGGCAAAAGAGTAATAACCTTTCATGATATGAGAGCGTTGTCATGGATAAGAGCATTCCTGTAATTCCCTTCTATGCTGCTTTCTTTTCCTTCAATCTTTAGTTTAATTTTTTATCATTCATCGTTCCTGAAAAACTGCAGGAACTTTGATTTACTGCCTTACTGCAATATTGCCAGATTGAAATTCTTCTTATTTCAGCAAGACGAGCAGAATTCTTTTAGTTTGACAAGTAAAGGCTCTGGATGGATGTACTGCAGATTGCTGTGCTGGTCTTCCAAAGTGCTTTCTGACATCTTGCATGAAAGAGGTGGATACTGATCCTAGTATCCATCCAGTATCCTGATGGATACTGCCAAACAGACCAGGATCCCCTCTGCAGACCAGCTGTGAAGTTGATTCAGAGGAAGAAGAATCTTTGCAGGCCCACAGTTTTTAAAGTGGAAATTTCAGGCCTTAGGTTTGGTTGTTTATCCTGCTTACCTGCCCCACCCTGTGGAAATAACCCCACATAGGTATATATGCTGGATTTTGGTAAGATTAAATATTCCATCAGGTGGTTCTTTATTTCAGATGGTCGATCTAAAAGATTGGTTTTGGGAGCTGACAGACTGAAGGTAACCACTCTTTGTTTTTGTTGCAGTGCTCAAGCAAGGGTTGTAAGTACAAGGAAGTTATTGGCCTGAGTGCTTTTCTCTTTCTGAGCAGCTGTAACGTGAGGTGCATTAATTGAAATTTCATGTTTCTTCCTGTAGCTGATCGAGAATTCATAGAATCGAGGAGGAGAGCGCTGAAGCGTTTTATAAACCTGGTGGCTCGACACCCCCCTTTCTCAGAAGATGTGCTCTTGAAACTCTTCCTGTCCTTCAGTGGCTCAGTGAGTGTTTGTTAGCAATAGTCCTGAGTTTGCATGTCTGCCTGTAACTGCTTCACTGGGCACAGGGTTCAGAATTGCTTCTGACCTACATGGTTTTGCTCCCTGTGACGAGGAGAATTTTCTCTCAGTGGGTGTTTCTACAGCTGGAAAGTGGAAGGTAATTTCATTCAATGCCAGGAGGGTAGTATTTTGAAAATTATAACTGTTCTTAGGGGAATACAGGTTATGCTTTTCCTTAAATTAAACCTAACCTGAGTAAAGCTGTAAGTGTCTTACTGTTGAGGTGTATCTGAGACCTTTGTTACTTAGTTCTTTCATGCTGATTTGATTCTGTATTTTCTGCAGGATGTACAGAATAAGCTAAGGGAGTTGGTCCAGGGAGTAGGAGATGAGTTTATGACCTGCAAATTAGCCACCCAGGCCAAGGTATGTATAGGAATTTTTTGCAACATATTATTCTGGTTTGAATGGCTGTGTTCTCCTGGTGGATCAGTTATGGCATTTGTGGAGTGATGGGCACCTTAGGTAGGAGACAGTTGTTTACAGAGTTTGAAGAACTCCTAACTTTATCAAAAAGATCAAATAAATATTTGACTCTTAAGGTCCTGATATTTGTAGCTAAATGCTGGTTCGTGAATATGATAAAGATTAAACAATGAATCCTGCTCAGAACATGTTTCTCAGCAATTACTTGTACTTGCATAACAAACACATGCACAAATTGCACAATTTAAAAGCTAACATCTAGATGGATATCCTTCCCACTTGTTCATGCCCTCATTCTGTCTGTCTTCTTCTCCCTGTGGGAGAGCAATTTGGACTGTTAGAGAGAAGTTAGTTATAAGTTCTCCATGTATCTGTTTATCCCAGAGATTAGTGCTATGACAAGTTTTAAATCTACTGTGTTCGTTGAGCAATTTTAAAGCAAGTTGTTGTTCAGGTTCCTGCAGTGCTTGCAGGAGGTTTTGCAACTGGAGCTTAGTTCAGGTTTTTACCAGTGATACTCTGGTCAAAAAGAGCTGAACTTTCAGTTCATTCTTGACTTTACCAGGCTGGGAGTTACCAGTAGGATTAGGTTAGAACTTGTGAGCTTGAAACCTCACAACCCCTGTTTTAACTGCATAGTAGAATTGCAGATATTGTCAACTCTGTCTACACTGGGTATTTGAACCTCTTTATGCCTCTGAAAATTAGGGCTGTTTGTGTGACATCTGACTTGGACAACTGAATTGGAAAAGTGATCTCTTCAGGGTTGTTACAGCGTGGCATGAGGGAGTGAGCACAAGAGGGAAGCCTCTTTTTCTCTGCAGTCTGTGGTGTGCCTCTGATTTACCCACCAGTAACCTCTCTGTACTCCTTCAGGACTTCCTCCCATCTGACATACAGGCCCAGTTTGCTGCCAGCAGGGAGCTCATCAGAAATATTTATAACAGCTTTTATAAGCTTCGAGACCGTGCGGAGAGAATCGCTTCTCGAGCCATTGACAACGCCTCCGACCTCCTCATATTTGGGAAGGAGCTCAGGTAGGTTTGGAGGAACAGGCCTTGCTAATATGAACATTTCTACTGCTGTTTCAGAACTCAAAACTCTTGTAAGGCCTCCAATCTGGTAAAAATGGGTATTCCAGTGCATGCTGTAGGTCCTAATCAATTTTTCCTACTATGAAAAAGGAAATGCACACTTACCATTAAGGCTGCATTCCCTAGAACATGAGGAAACAAAATATAAATACCTTGGCATTCAGGTACTGGTTTTATTGTCTCTCTCCCCAGTAAGTACACAATGAACTCTGCATTTGTGTTGGGGCAGTAGCAGCTCAGCGCTGTGAGCTGTTTAGACAGATTTGAAACTCTGAACTGCTCTCTGCAAATAAGTTTAGCTGCTCAGTGGAATTTGTCTCCTAGATGTGACTGTTACTTGTCTCCTTCCAGTGCTTTGGGCTCAGACACTACCCCACTTCCTTCCTGGGCTGCTTTGAATAACAGCACATGGGGGACTCTGAAACAAGCCTTGAAGGGTCTGTCTGTTGAATTTGCACTTCTGGCAGATAAGGCTGTGCAGCAGGTGAGTTCTTGACTTTTCTCTTTTTCTTTTTTTTTCTTTTTTTCTTTTTGTAACACGGCGGTGGTACATTGCTGCCCTAAACTTCATCTTTAATCACGAGCTCTGTGGACATAAGCTCTTCAAGAGTTAAGAAGGAGATGGTGATTCAAACTTTCGTCCTCAACCACCAGCCTGCTTGTTCAAGCTTGAATGAAATACCTGGACTGTGTTTAAATGGGAAAAAAATATAACAGGCAAGGAAAAGGAGGGAAAAACCTGCCTTCTTTCTTAATTTTAAGTGATTATTGCACACGTTAAGTTGTACTACCTTAGTGAGCTGTCCAAGAATCCTGTGTTCTGTCTTACTAATCTGCTACAGAGAATCCAGAATAAGTTATTTCTGAATCAAGTTTTGACGTTCATGTACTTAAACATTACATGAGAGTGATTCAGACAGAAGTATCATATTCCTGTGTAAGTGTGCAGTGTGGTAATGACTGTCAGAATAATGTGAGAACACGACAGTCTGGGAAGGAAAAGTAATAATTTTGTCTTCCCTGCTCTTCATCTCATTGTGTTAAAACACTGAGCATGCTTTTGTAGATCAGTCAGACCAGGTCTTTTTCTCCAGAGTTTACGCTCCAGAGAGCTCTATTGATACAGGAAGAAAAGAGAGTATTTTGTAAAATAAAAAAACTAGTGGTGAAATTTGGCTTGGTGTCTCATCTCTGCCTTCTGATGCATGAACTATTATGGGGAACATGCAGGTATTCAGAGCTTTAATGGATTAGTTATCTTGTAAGAAGGGAAGATGAAAGATTGGAGGAATCTGCAAGAGCAAGAAATTCCAGGCAGAGCGTGCTGAAAGGGCTGACATGCAGGGCTGTGAAACCAACTCCTCTTGTTATAGTGATCAGTCAGTTGGAAAAGCCGTTCCTGCCTCAGTCAGGTCTTTGTTCTGCACACTGAAGACTAAACACACTCCAGTGTCATCTGAAAGCTTTTTGATGCAGTTGTGTAAGCACCAATGTGCCCTGGAGAATGCAGTGAGAGCCTGCGTGGTGTGAGGAGGTGAAGGACTGGGATGTTGGTTCTTGCCAGGCTTACGTAAAATGTACTTTTTCCTTGTTTTCTAGGGTAAACAGGAAGAGAATGATGTGGTGGAGAAGCTGAACCTTTTCCTGGATTTACTCCAGTCCTATAAAGTGAGCTCTGCTGTTCTTCTGCCAACGAGAAAGTTGTTCAGAGAAGCAAGCTTGTGCTTTTTAGAGGGTGTAATGCCAACTGGATGGAAAACTGTCTGGGAGGCCAGTTCAGAGGCAAACTGGGCATCTGGCAGAGGGAGGGGAGCGGCTGTTGGCCATAACCAGCTCTGCAGCCTTACTGATCAGCTCGGCTTGTGATGAGAACTTGCCAAAGAGCAAACCCTGCAAGGAATTTCAAAATACAAATGCTTGAACTATATGGATCAGCTAACTTTTTATTTTCAGATTTGGCTGCTTTTGAGTCAAGGCAGTGAACTAGATCACTATTGGTTTGTTCATGGAGATATGAGCCGAGTTACAAATTAAAGAATTTTTGTTAATACTAATCTATGATCAAAGGTACTTTTTATAGAAGCATCTACTGAAACTGTATGAGGCAGCCTCTCCTGACATTCCCAGGCCTGGACTGAGATAGAAGGACACTGGCAAGCTCTTACCACAGTTAATTGCCTGCACTCAATTTTGAGAAGGTCAGGAAAAGATAAGAGGCCTGATAAGATCCAAAGTGTTGGCAGAAGTGATGCTCCAGGCTGCCTCTTGAGCTCACTGGTCTGGGTTCAAGCAGGTTTTTTTTTCTTGAGTTCTAAGCTACTGGCGTTTTTTGACCCTCTTGAAAACTAAGGAACAAAAATGTGCAGCATGGAAGTTATATAAAGCACGACCACGTGTTTGTGTTCCTGATGTACTTGGCTGTGTGTTTGCTGACTCTTGGCTTCCACTATGTACCTGTTCTTTTCTTTTCCCGTAAAGGACCTGTGTGAAAGGCACGAGAAGGGGGTGTTGCACAAGCACCAGCGGGCATTGCACAAGTACAGCATGATGAAGAGGCAGATGATGAGTGCCACTGTGCAGAACAAAGAACCAGAATCAGTGGAGCAACTGGAGTCTCGAATTGTGGAGGTAGGGCAGGCTCCTGGGAGAGCAAAGGGTGGTACTGGGCTCTGTGATGGTGCTGCTCTGTTGTATTTGCAGAAAACCATTGGGCTGAAAGGGTAGTCTGTGCTTTGGGAAATCTGAGTTACCTGCTGTGCCAGATGGAAAAGGTGCTTGTTTTCCTCCACACTTACTACTGGCCCTTTGGCAGCACATCATTTGCAGGAGCTGTGGAAACCAGCAGTCTGCAGGGTGGAAAGTGCAGTTGCCGTTGTATCAAATGGGTCCAGGATCTGCCTTTTTGGGTTTTTGATATGTGTTTGAATTGCTGGTAGGGTGAGGAATGCTGTTTTCTCCTGCTGTAAGTGAACCTCCTTGGCAGCCCCTTCCTGGCACTGCATTTCACAGAGCTCCTCTTGTTTCAGCAAGAAAACGCCATCCTGACCATGGAGCTGCGGAATTACTTCTCCCTGTACTGCCTCCATCAGGAGACACAGCTCATCCACATCTACCTGCCTCTCACCTCTCACATTCTGGGGGCCTTTGTCAACTCCCAGATCCAGGGTCACAAAGAGGTGAGGTTTTCTGGACTGTATCCTTTTCCCCAAAATATGAATGAGAATTTGAATGTATTTATTTTCACCTGTTGGCCTTCGTCCTCTAATCATCTGTCCAGCTGGGCTCTTTCATAACTTAAGAAGTCATCTAAGGTCTTTCCAGTTTGGAGTGAGGATCAAGGCTGGCCTCTAACTCCTCTAAAAGACTGTATCTTCTTGCAGCAAGTTGCTGTTTTTTTCTTCTTTTCTTCTGCTCTCATCAACTATCCTATGGGTAGTTGAAGAAGACCTAACCATTAAATAGCTATTCTGTAATGAATGATGTGTGTTTGCTAGATGAATCTGTTTTTTTGTGGTGCTACACAGAAATTGTATGACAAGGAGCAACTTCCTTGCCTTTGCTCTAAGAGCTCCTTTTTGTTAACCCCTAAATATGGCCTTTAATATTTCCCATATACAGACTTCCTTGCATTTGTTGTATTAGAAAAGTCTCTCCTCCTTCAGCTCCCTTCCTTCCCTTCAGTGAAGGAATTTGACCAAGGTATGGGAAATCTCTATTCCATGCATGCTCAGGAAAATGCTCAGGGAGCTCCAATAGCACCAGTCTGGAAGGTACAATCCGGGTCCACTGAACTTCCTGAAAACACTTCAGCAAATTTGTGTTGTGCTTTTGAGTACCTGAAACTGCTGCTAAAATTCAGTGTGGTGAGATAGTTAGCTACCGTGTGGTCACGTCTGTTTTCTCTCCTTTTCCACTCACAGATGAGTAAAGTTTGGAATGAATTGAAGCCGAAGTTGAGCTGCCTTTTTGTGGGATCTAGCAGTATGCCAACTCCACCACTGTCACCTCCAGAGGGAAATTTCTTCTCCAGTTAATGCTCCGAGCACCCTGCATGGAGCAAGAAGGGCAATCAACGAAGGGGTGGGACCTCTACCTCCAGATGTTAAAATGAATCCTCCAAACAGCTATATTTTTTTTTTTTTAATACTGCTGCTTTGAGCTGCTCTCTGATTTAGACAGACTGGATTGTGGGGCAGAACATATGGATCTAAAGACCATCTCCTAATTTTGCAGTGCTCTGGGGCAGAGCTGATGTTGGTTGTCCTGCAGACACTCTCCATGGGGTCGGGATGTGGCCTGGCACAGCGAGTGCTGCAGTGCTGTTGCTGATCCCTCTGCATCTTGTACTAACAGCCCTCCAATCATGTTTATCTGCAGCTGTGCTGACACATCTCTGCACTGAAGTCTCTGAAGTGCTGAGATGAACGGGATAACTGAAGCACTTGCTTGTAGTGGAGATAAATTGCCTTTTACGCCTTGGAGGGCCTGTGTTAGGGACATGTGTGCATAAGGAAAGCTGAAAGCCATCCCCCATCCCGTTGTAGGTGTCTAGATTTGATTTCTTACTGCTAGACCTTAGCACAAAATGAATGAAGTGGTTGGATTTTGTAACCCAGCTGGGCAGGGGTCAATGCTGCTGTGTAATGGGGTTCTCCCATGAGGTTGGATGGACTGTATTGTCAGTGTGTTTCCCTTCATGGTTGCAGGGCAGCCTGGGGACTTGCTCATATTTTTCAGTTTGGGGCCAAAGACAGCTGGGTTCAGGAACTCAGAGGAGTTTGCCTGGCATAAATGAGAAAATAATTGAATAAAACACTCCTTAATTGTAATCCAGTCCTACTACATGAGCAGAATAGCTACAAGGTAGCTGTTTCCTTCTGGAGGTTCTGATATCCCTCTGTTAAGTAGCTGTTCAGGTCCACTGGAGAGCTGCTGACCCAAAGGCTGGTGTTTTCTTTGGTCTAATATCAGAAGTATTCTGTTATACCAGCAGGCTGGAACACAGTGCTGATAAAGTTCATTAACAAAAAAAAGTCAGTATTTATCAGGATGTTACTGTCATTCTTTTTCCTGGCTGTGGGTAACACTGGAGTGTGTTTGTGAAGGACAGGAGACAAGTGACAGTTCTCGTCTCTAAAAACAGCCCTTGGTAGTGGGGTTTTCAGAATGATTTGTGATTGAGATAAAGGGACTAATCATTCTCCACTTTGTATCTCCAGTGACTTTCCCTCTGGAGGCAAAGGGGGAGGAGAATGTGCACATCATGTTACCTCGGGGGAAATGGTGCACATCCTCCAGAGAAACTTATAATCCAAGGAACTGCAAACGTCTGCAGCAAAACTGTGTGAACAGGTCTCTCCTGAACCTGCCTTCTCTGGGGCCAAAATAGCTTCTAAAGGGGAATTTGAGATTTGGCTTCTTAGCATTTTCTTTGACTGGGTAAAAAGGAAGCATATTAACAAGGATGAGTGCTCGCTGTCAAACTGGAACCATTACAGTATTTTTCTACTGGGGAACTTCCCCATTAGCAGGAAATGTATTTAAATCCTCTAATCACAAAAGCTGCTTTTTTTTTTTTTTATAAATTTAGAAAACTCAGTACAGCATGAAGCTCTTCCTAATCCAGGTGGAAATTCTGGGTTAGTTTCTTCAGCTAAGAGCAAGACAAATTACTTGCCCAGTTTCGTGAGACTGGAATAACCATTCCTCACACTTATCAAAATGGGGTAAAATAGAGTGATATGGGTGAGTTCCTTGGGTGCTGGGCCTTAAGCAGTGTGTAGCCAGCCTTGCTCAGAATGCATTAAGAGCTTTTTTCCAACAATTCAAATGTTAACTTGCTTTCCTCCTGTATATGGGCCTTGTGCAGTGAGACAGATGAACTGCAAATGGCTGTGACAGGTTTGATTCTCTCCTGAAGATTTCCAAAGCAATGCAGAGGAGATTCTGCTCACAAGGCAGAGCAAACTGTCAGAGGAGGGAAATGTTTCTACAGTCCAGTAACAAAGAAGATTATTATCTCAGGAATGGCACAGAAGGTTTTTCTGCTTGACCTTGTCTTGATTAGGAAGATGGTTTGTGGTTCAAGTGTGGAAAGCGTGTTACCAGATTTTTATATGCTCTTTACCCCTGGCATGTTTAGAAGGTGTTGGCTGGTTATAGCTGGCTTAGTCTGAGCACCCATCCTCCCTTGTTTATCCTTGTTTGCTTGATGTGGTGAGCAGTCAAAGTGAGAAAATACTGTATGTTTTGGGGCAAGATCTGATACTTCTGGTGGATCTTCTGTGTAATTTGTTTGACTGGGCAATGTTCCATGGGAGCACTTGCAAAGCATTGGCCGGAATGGGACTTTACACTTCTCACTTCTAGAAAGAATTTCTAATTTTGGACTTTATTTACAATCAAAAAACAAATCCCCCAAAAAACAAACATCAAAATGACATTTGGGTTTTAGACTAACTCCTCTTTCCTGTTCTCCTTGAGAATGAGAATTCTACAGTCCAAATGCAGAGATGGTAGTAATGATAAACACAGAGCACAGGACCTACAAAGGAACTGGAATTACATTGAGAAAACACCCATTCCTCCATTGTCAGCCCTTGCCTCTCTGAGGAGAGCAGTTTTGGGGGTGGGTTTTTCTTGTTTTGCCTTTACTCTGTTCACCTGGTATTTGAGAACAGAGGCTTTGTATTCTCAAAGCTGATCCAGCTGTTGGCACTTTCAGAGTTTATTTCATACTGGACTGTCAAGCTTCTGTCTCATTCCTAAACACATGCAGACACTATTTCATATAACCCTTAGTTTCCAAACCTTTCCTTTGGGAGACTGGTCAGTGTGCAAATAGAACTGTTATGTTTACCTCAGTATGTGAGGGATTTCCTTACTGTGTTTTGTTCGTTCAGTTTATGGATCTGTCAGACTTGGAGGGCTGCATCAAGCACAGCTTCCTTCCCCTGCAGGGATGCAGCAGGGAATCCAGGGGATCCATCAGGCTGCCTGTCTGCCCTAGTCAGTGTGGGGGAAACAGCTGTGGTGACCTCCATGCTACTGCCTTCTGCAGTAAACACTAAGCAAACCAGACTGAGGAGTGTGTGCTGCCTATCCAAGAGCTGATGCTCCTGTAAGACGTGATGTGCCTTTGTGAATGGAAGCTTTTCTGTGTGTGCTTGAGGTCAGGGGACCTTCAGGTGTTCAAAACAGCGATGGTAGAAAAGGCCTCCAGTTTTTCTGTCAGTGTCTCTGTCAGGTCTGTTGGGTAGGTACCAGGGTGGTCAAAACCTGAGACCCTGAAAGCTGCCTGAAAATTGTTCTATCAAAAGGGCTCTAAGTTTCTGTCACTCCTGAGGGCTTCTCCACTTCCAGCTGTGAAGTGGCTTTTTGTCCAGTATCACGTGTTGAAAGACTCCAAACTGTATTTACAATACAACTTTAGTCTTTGATCCTTCTTTCTCTCTCTTTCCATCCTCCTTGCAAGTTGCTCCTCCGAAGCTGTAATGTGCTCAATGATGCCTTGCTGCATTCCAGTGCTTTTACTCTCCTACTTTGATCATGCAAGGGTGTAATTCCTGGAACTTGAAACAGGCTAATTTACACCCTTCAGTTTGTGCTGTTTCCTAAAAGACAAAGCTCACCAGCTGGAGACAAAACTTAAACCACGTCAGTCTCACAAGAGCAGCAGGAGCAGTAACATCCCAGCTCTTTGACATGACCTGGAAGTCAGGGCTGGGGAAAGCATCCTCCTGAAAGGACTGACCTGACTGCAGAGAGGGGATGGCAAAGAGAAGTGCAAGCCTGAGCTGTGCTTGTTCTGTTCCTTCCTAAATCCTGGAGGAACAGAAAGTAATTCTGTGTGATTCTGTGATGTGCTCTCTCTCACCCAGCAGTTTACAGTTTCCACCAGGAAATAAATCCAGATATAACAGGTATTGGCTGTCAGTCACTCCCTTTCCTACCACACAGTAAGGTCCTACACCCTGTTAAAGCTGCCTGTCCTCCTGGGCTTATTCTCTCTCCTACTTGCCTCAAGCCATTCATTCTCTCTGTTAGAGCAGCCAGAAACCTCACTGCCAGGTCAGAAGCAGAGGTGGGTATCAAAACCTCTGTAAATAACTCAGTGTGCAGCACAAAAGGAAAAGTAAGGTTTTAAGGTGTTAATTCCTCCTCTAAGTCTGAGCTGTGGCTTGCTGAGTAGATGAAGAAGGGCATTTTTGAGTGGGTATTTTCAAAACTGCTGGAGGGAGACAAGAAGCAAATTTTTGTTCAAAGGGTGTGAATATGGCCTGCCTGGAATATCCTGTATCTTTGCTTTGCTCAAATAGCCTTATGTATGAAGCACTTTATCCAAATGCAGGAATTAAAGAACTATTACTACAGCTGGTAGACTGGAAATGTTTACAGATCCTACATTACATTCCAAGATTCTATCTGTAAGTGTTATATGTTTGTAAAAGTGTTTAAAAAAAGAAAAAACAAAACTTGTGTAAGAAGCTACATATGTGATGTGTTATTTCTAGCACAGTTGGATTAAACTTTTGCTGGGTTGGGCTGACATCAGTGCTGAGCAGTCACCTGCTCCTGCCCTGTGGCAAAGTGTGCAGCCATGGGGGGTGGCACTTTGTAGCAGAGACTTGCTGAAATTTGATTTTGTTCAGCGTATTTTTACCTGAAATGCTCAAAGGAGTTCAGCTTCACTGCAGGAGCTGCAAGAGTGAAAGCTGGGCTCAAACAGGACTATACATCTAACTTCTGTTTTTATAACTCTCGTAACCTCACACTGCCTTCAGCTGGAGAACCCTGAAGGAGTCTCTATCTGGACTTTTCAAAAGGCTTTTCACAACACTGTTACAATAGAACAACACACGCTTTTACTAAAAAAATATTTTTAATATTTAAAAAAAGAAATAAATTCCAGTCATGAGGGAAAAGCCTAAACCATTAGCCAGCTGTGAAGAAAAGGGTTAACACTAAGTTTTTAATAGTTGTGATCACATAACCGCTAAAGCCTACCACAGCCAGGGACTTCACACCGTGGAAAATCTTGCTGCTTTCATTTCTGCTTAAAGAAACTCCCTTGTTTTCCTTACTTTCCAGTGACCTGGAAAATAAGTCTCTGGAGAGCTGAGCAAGGAAACCCTCATAAGTCATACTCATGGTGTTGCAGCCCAATGTGGGCAGTAGCACTTGGGCTGAATGCTTCCCTTTTCTTAAACTTCCTCCACTTCTTTCAGGCTGTGCTCCAGGATGGTGTCTTGTCCCTGGAACTTAAAATAGCCATGAAACAACTTTCTCTGAAGCACCAGGGGAAACCAGTAGATATCATCTGGCCACATGCAATTGAATGGCACCTCATCCAGCTGAAACCACTGGGGCCGCATTTCTGGTGGGAGAAAACAAAAGAACTTGGCATGGGCCTTCCTTCATGGACTTCTGCTGAATATCTGTCAATATGCACCTTCCCTCTACAGCCCAGCTGCCTCCCTTTTGAAGGGGGGGCATTTTGGCATGAAAATTTGGTTCTCCATTTCATAAGAGCAGTGCATTTCAGAAGAGCACACACATCCTTCCCTCCCCTCTACCAGCTACCTACCCTCACTTTCTGTTGGCTCTCCGTGGAAGTGATCTGCCCGGAAAACATGAACGTCCATGAGTTCAGAGTTGCCCACAAATTCAAATGTGATCCGACCCATCTTCTGCAAGGTGTCCACAGTCAGTCCACTCTCCTCCAGGAGCTCCCTGAAAAAGACATAGATTTCTTTATATGAAAGTGGGAGGCATAAAAAACCTGCAGTCAATAGCTTGACTTGCACTTCAAAACCCTTCCAGTGAACCAAAGGTGAAAGCTGTACAACAGAGCACGGTTCTGACTTGCACCAAACTATGAGTCTACTTACACCACACGGGAACCAGGTCAGATGGGATCATGTTTTATTTCAGGCTCTGAGGCTGGTAGGTAAATAGTCTATGTTGGAAGGGGAAGATTCAGGAAAACAGATCATTTAGTGTAATTTACAGTCCTTGCAACATGCTGACCTTTTCTGAGATCAGTGAGAAGTGGGCATGTGACTGTGACTGGATGTGGCTTCAGAACTCAGAGATACACATGATTTAGACAAAGGCTTTGCCAACTTCAAGCTAAAGCTTTTAGAATTATGGGGAAACGTGATGAACACCAGAACAACTGTACTTGCTACACTATCAGCTGCTTCTGAGGCAAACTGAAGCTTATTTAAATTACACAATACATAACCACTTGCATACAGAACGTTAAGAATTCCGTCTCCCATTCAAATGCAGTATAAAAAAAACACAAAGCAATTGTGTAAACTTTCCCTTTCCGCTCCTTGGAAGCACACATTGAGGATAACGAGAGGCCAGAAGGCAGGACTTTTTTAAGAGCACTTGGAGAGATGTGCCAGACAGCTCTTTGCCACACTCCACCATTAACAGCTACTTGACACACATCCAATTGTTTCCTCTGTTTATGTTCCACGATCAGGTTTTTTTTTTTTAATTTTACCTCCCTCCAACAGAAGCACTATAGCTTGAAGTTAGTCATGGTTTTTCTAATGTACAAAAATAAGGAATACTCTGAAACCACGTATCTTCAGTTAAGGTTAATAATTAATGTAGTTGCCTATTTGGCAGTAACAACAATTTTAAAATGTAATGGAAATCATTATAAGGCTCCAGCTTTCTTTGGCGTCGATTTCATGGATCCCATCCTTCAAAATTATATTTCAACTTAATGTCTTGGCTAATTTTAGTTTATCTTCTGAGAAGCTATCTATGTCTAAAACAGAGTCATTTTCCAGCAATGAATCTAAAAGCCTCCTTTTACAGGCAGTGATAATTGAAGAACAAAGCACAACACTGCTACGGTTCTCCAGGCAATTTATCCATCAGCTGCTTGGCTCTGTAGCAAGTGGAAACATTACAGGTGGCAAATTAGAAATAACCAACTCGCTCAGTGTTCCCCTTACAAGATGTGCCACTGAGCAGCTGTGGGTGCCCAGGTGCTCACAGGAATGTGCCATATCCAGCAAAGGATAGAAATCTTACTGGTACTGGGAACTTCTGTTCATGTTTCGGCTTAATGTTTAACTCTCTGTGCTGTGAGGACTTCACACCTTACGCCACTGCCAGCCCAACTGAGACAGAGCAACACAGAACCACAGCCTAATACCTCAACTCCCAGTGCAAGGGAAGTTTGATTTGGACTGTGTGATGCTTCCTGGAGGAGAGCTGTGCCCTGAGGCAGCAGTGCACCAGCAGTGTTCCTGCCAGGCAAGTGGCCAGTGTGTCCAGCTGGCCTTGGCTCTGGGAACAGCTTCCTGCACAGCGGACCTCGGTAGGAACTGGTTGTGTCATTCTGGAGTAAACTGCAGGTGAAGGGATGAGGACAGACCCAGGCAGCAGGTGCTGGCTGTGCTGTGAAACGTTGCACTGAGTCAGTGAAACTTTGGTCAGTTCACGTCTCTTGTGAATGAAAACTCCACTGTCAGACTCTGGGCCAGCACAGGTAAAACACACACCCAGGAAATCAAATCCCAAATCAAATAACTAGATTTACACCACAGTGTTAACCTGGCAAGTGAAGGCTGAGGTAAGTAACAAAACTGATCTCCCACCCTCCGTTCAGAGATGATAAGTTATATGAAAAGCCACGATCTCAGTGTCAGGTACGTTATTGCCCTGTGCTGCTTGGGGCACATCTGCACAGGATCAGCTCAGCACAGAACCCAGGCAGTTGGGCTGGCACAGCTGAGGAGAGTGTTCAGGGCAGAAGCTGCTGGGTAGCAGCTGAACACACCAACACTGATCTTCCTGCAGGTGCAAGGGCAATTTTGGGGTTGTATCAGGAACTGAGGAGATGGCAAAGTGTGGCTTAGTAACAGCAATATTCATGTAAAGAACAAGATACCTGATTTTTAGAGTGTAGCAATTCAATTGTGATCTGCTACTTCATTTCAATGACCAGACAGAAGAAAGAACTTCAAGAAATCAGCACTAAAATTTTCAAAAATTATACTGTGCCTTTTTACTGATGAAATTCAATTCCCTAACTCAGCATTAGCACTTTAAAATGTCACCATATAATAAACCAATAAATTTCTACAGTGCCTTTCATAATGGACCTCTAAGAATTTCTGCTATTTTGTCACTACATTTTCACTCAATACTCAAAATGCTACTGGAAGGTGGCATCTGTTCAACAGCTTCAAAATTTAAACAATAAGCAGTTTGGCTTATTGTTTAAACTAAATTACCTGTAATTCTGCTATATAGCCAAAATTAAACCCTGCACCTCTCTGAACAGTGCAAGAACCTCTGTCTACCACTCGCAGACTCACTCTCAGTTTAGATCAGAGTCCAGGGGATGGGAGGGAGGACACTTGGGAAGTTCCAGTTGCTCACAGGTTGAATGACAGTTAAAGATTTGCAGATGACAGACCAGGGGGAGCAATCCTGTTTCTTTCTACATGGGGACGATCCCTCACCACCTGTGGAGCAGGTGCCTCTGTTTCAGAGATGGCTCACGGCTGCACTGGTGGGTAACACACCGGGGTGTTACTGACCAGCCTGCAGCCCACCGCCGATGGTCCAACACCTCCACGGCCATCCTGTGGCCCCACGCCTGTCCCCGGGGCGCCGGCCGAGCCCTCACCTCCGGGCAGCCTCCTCGATGCTCTCCCCGGGCTGCACCTTCCCCCCGAAGCCGTTCCACAGCCCCGCGCCGAACCCGCGCTTCTTCATGCCCAGGAGGACACGGGACGGCTGCACCACCAGGACGAGGGTGAAGAGTCTGGACGTGTACATGGCTCCTGGGAGAGGGATGAGGGGGGCACGCTGAGCCAAGGGCTCCCGGCACCCCTCATCAGAGAGCCCCTCACCCCCAAAACACCCCTCACCCCCCAAGGCCTGGTCCCTAAATCCTTGGTCCCCCAATGCCTCTCCCAATACCTCTCTAACGCTCCCACTGACCCTCGCTCTCCTGCTTCCCCAGCACCCCCTCCCCAACTCTTTGATCCCCCCTCCCCAAATCCTTGTTCCCCCAAAACACCCTCCCTGAATCTCTGACCATCCTCAATACACCCTCCCTGAATTCCTGACCACCCTCACCACCCCTTCCCGAATCCCTGAGCCCCTCAGCGCCCCTCCCCAAATCTTTGATCCCCCCTCCCCAAATCCTTGTTCCCCGAAACCCACTCCCTGAATCCCTGACTCCCTCAACACCCCCTCCCTGAATCCCGGACCACACTCAGCACCCTCTCTCCGAATCTTTGATCCCCCCACCACTTCCTCCCCAAATCTTTGATTCCCCCCTCCCCAGATCCCTGTTCCCCCAAAATTCCCTCCCTGAATCCCTGATTCCCTCAGCCCCCCTTACCCGAACCCCTGAGCCCCCCAGCGCCCCTCCCCAATCTTTTGATCGCCCCTCCCCGAATCCTTGTTCCCCTCAAACCCCCTCCCCAAAGCCTTGATCCCCTCAACACCCTCCCCCCAAATCCTTCACGCCCCCAGCACCCCATGCCTGTCCGCTCGCCCCTCGGCCCCAAACCCCCGCCTTTCCCGCCCACCTCAGTCCCGCTCAGCCGAGGCGCTTCCCGGTTCTTCCCGCGCCGCCGCCGCCGTGAGGGAGGCGGGACGGGGCGGGACCAGGCGGCCATGGCGGGGCCGGGGGGTGCCGCCATCGCCGGGGGCAGGTGCGTGATGGGGCCGCTGAGGAGATCCCGGGACCCCCCCCCCCGGGGGGTGGCCGTGTGGTGTCGTTAGTCCCGGCGCCTGGAGTTCCCCTCAGGAGTGGGTTAATGGGCGTGTGGGTGTGTGGTTGCTGGAAATGCCGGGCGGGGGTCCCCCCCGGGCAGTGGCTGTGGGTTGCTCCGCCCGGAGCTTGCAGGAGCTCGGGTATCTCCCTGGTTCCTCTGAGGGGATCACGGAGGCCTCCAGCCCCTCTGAGGCAGCCCGGGACCGTGCTGGGGTCGCTTTACCGTGTCGTGTCCTTAAACATGGGAGCTGTCTGTGCTAGAGCGGGGATTCTTTTCCCCCCTTCCCTCAGGGTATTCTGTGAGGCCTCATCGAAAACATGGTCCTTCTGTTGTGGTTGGACCTGATAGCTAAAGGTGCCAAAAATCTCAAATTTGGAGGCTTCTGTTTAGAATCACAAAATTGTTAGTGACCTCTGGAGTTCAATCATCCAGTCCAACCCCTGTGCCAAGGCAGCTTTACCTGAAGGGGGTGACACAGGGATGTGTCCAGGTGGGATTTAAATGTCTCTAGAGAGGGAGACCCCACAACCTCCCTGGGCAGCCTGTAGCCGAGGTTGGAATTAATTACTATAGAGACTTTTGAAATACATCGTCATCATGTACTAACCAGTTAACTTGCCTTTCTTGCCGGGCAGCTGTTGGCGTTCGGTGAGCAGATGTCTGCACACCACCGTCAGGTTTCTGAAGAAAACTGGGACTGAGCAGCTGTGGTTGGAGCGGCACTTGAAGGATCCTTTTGTGAAGGCATCAAAGCAGCAGCATTACCGTTGCAGAAGTGCCTTCAAATTGCTGGAGATCGATGACAAGCTTCATATTCTTCGGCCAGGACTTTCTGTTCTCGACTGTGGAGCAGCACCTGGTGCTTGGAGCCAGGTTACTGTAGAGAGGGTCAATGCCTTGGGTACTGGTACGTGTGTTTTTGGCAGGCAAGGATGGGCATGATACTCCTCTTGAATTGTGTGAGAAATCTATGAAATACTATGAAATCTAAGAAATACTATGATGGAAGTGGTATGGGGAAGGAATGTGGATGCTGGCAAATGGCAGTCACTGACAGAAGCATGAGGTGTTGCCTAGTGAATCTTCATACGGTCTGAAAAAATTGTATTTGTGAAACAAAACCATACCATGTGATATTAGTGTTCTGATTAGCTGTTGTGAGGAAGATCCCCTCATCCAGTTCTAAAATCAGTGTAGCCTCCAGCAATTACCTTGGCTTACCTGATTTTTTATTTCCATTCTAGAAAAATGGAAGTAACCACTGTGCCTGGTTTACGTGGTTTAAGCCATTAATACTTACTTAAGGTGTTATCATCTGTACCATTGTCAGGACTGTCAGCCTTGAAACAGCAGCAGAAAAACAAGAAAAATCCCCCTTGCTTATCCAAAGTAGCTGAGTTTTCCTGTCTGGAATGGATGAGCTTATGGCAAACCCTCCATCCAGATGCACCCAGCAAACTGCCAGGGGACAGGAAGGCAGTTTTGTTTCTTGAGCTCACGCACGTGCAAGTCGTTCGCAGTCATTGTGAGTGTTTGTGTGTCCTTCATCCTTACAGATCCTGCTGTCCCCACTGGCTTTGTCCTTGGCGTTGACCTCCTGCGGATTTCTCCTCTGGAAGGAGCAGTTTTCCTGTCAAACACTGACATTGCAGACCCCAGCACGCTGAGGACAATCCAGAGCCTGCTTCCCGCGGGGAAGGCGGACGTTATCCTGAGCGACATGGCACCTAACGCGACGGGCATCAAGGAACTGGATCACCAGAAGGTGATCAATCTGTGCTTGGGCCTTCTGAACCTGTCCCAAAGCATTTTAAAGCCAAAGGGAACGATGCTCTGTAAGTTCTGGGATGGATCTGAGGCCCGTCTTCTGCAAAACAGACTGAAGGAGCAGTTCCAAGACGTGAGAACTATAAAGCCTCAGGCCAGCCGGAAGGAGTCTGCGGAATCTTATTACTTGGCAAGGCTGTACAAAGGGAAATGAAAGCTGAGAACTGCAGATTCTCAAGCAGGTAATCAGACACTGATTGGAAATCTGAATTTTGGTAGGTGTCTAAAGAAAAATCCCACCATGGAGACCCTGGGGAAACCTGCCACGATTCTCATGAAGTCCGTCATGCTTTTCAAATACCTGTGGAGGAAACGGTTGGGAATGGAGAGGAATAATCTGACAGGAAACCTCTGGGGCTGGAGTAATGGAAATGAAAATAAAATGGTGATATTGTGAGTGTTTAATGTGTGTTTGGAAATCATTGCCCTGTTAATGTCATACATGAGACAGACCATAAAGGGGGTTGTTGATATGTGAGAGTACAGCGAGGGAAGTTTGAGCCAATTTAGTGCCTCTTAGTAGCTGGTGCAATTTATTAGCACATGTAAAAATAGAAAATATTTCTGTTCACATCAGGATCTGCATCTTCACGTTGGGATCTGTAACCCAGCAGTGTGGGAGACACGGATGGCTTGGGAATGTTCAGCCCAATGGCTCTGCTGCCTTTCCTATGGACACAGGCTATATTTAGAAATTGCTGCTTCATGGCACTCATAAATCCAGTGGCAGTGGGGCCGAGTCATTGCTATGCAGATCATTTCAGTCTTGTTTCAGGTGTGACCTGTGGTGGTTCCCAGGTGAAATGACAAGATGTTCCCAAGATCCTGGACAGGGAGAATAACTGATTGAATTGCCAGAAATCTGTTTGCACAAATAGATTTACCCACTGCCTTATCTGGAAGTGGCAACTTTTATAGTAAATAGTGCTTTTATCAGGCTGACTGTGGCATGGGATATACAAGGAGCTGGTAGCACTGGGTGTTTTTAAGGCTTCCAGATCGTAAACAGCTCATGTGGGACTGCTTACAGATTTATTGAATTGTGATTTGAAACCTGCTGATCTGGATCTCCATACTGAAGAGGGTGTGTGGCAGCGCTAACCCAAAAGCCTAAACTGGGGAGTGGGGTGTCGAGTAGTAAAAGAAAATTGAAGTCAGTCGCTCCTTGAAAAACATTATGACCTGGGATTCGCGGTGGGAATGGGAGCCGGCAGAGCATGTGCTGCTCCTCTGCTCCTCCGGCTGCAGCTGCGGAGGGTCCGGGAGGCTCTGCCCGAGCAGGAGGGCGCAGGGGGATTTTGGGCGGGGGAAGGGGGGGCGAGCTGCCCACCGGCCGAGCTGGGAGCTCCTCCGCGCCGAGGAAATACGGTAGGGCGGAGATGCGCGCCTAGTCGCGTCGTTACGGCGGGCAGGGCCGGCGTTCTCGCGAGAGCGGGGCGTGGAGTTCCCGTGAGATCCCGTGGCCGGGGAGAGGAGGGAGATCCAAGCGGGGCGCGCGCCGGTGAGCGAGGAGGGACCGGGAGGGATGGGGATGGATGGATCTCACCGATCCCGCCCCGCTCCCGCCCTCCGGGGCGAGCCCCCGAGCAGCCCCGTGCCTGCCGCTGCCGCGGGTTCGCTGCCGGGCGGGGGATCTCCGGGAGCCCCGGGGGTCCCTCGGCCGCGGGGGTTTCTGAACCGCGGGCGGGACCTGCGTGTCCTTATTTTCAGTAGGTTTGAGGACAGGCTTGCCTACCTCAAGCCCCCTGCGGGTAGGGGACTCTCGGGAATTCGTGTGTACTCGTACCCTAGTGCGTAGTTTGAATAAACGCTTTCTCCTGGGTTTTGGCTGCTCTGCTGCCCGTGTGCTGCTGTTACGCCTCCTCTTCGTGACGATATAAATCCAAGGAATAACTGAGAATGCAGGAGCCTGGAGTTAGCCCCAGGACTGTGTCTCCGGCGCCACTCTGTGTGAATGTTGTGGCTGCCTTCCATGATCCTGGGGCTTTATGGAGCACGCAGTCACTGCAGGAACTCCCTTAAGGCTCCCTGAAGTCTCCTGGGAAACCTTGCTGGCGTTTCGGAGCTTCAGGCTTGGTTTGTCTTCGGCCCTTCTGAATCTGAAGGATTTGCAAAAACTTTTACGTGATCGAGGAAATGCAGTTTTACTTATAGAAGGGATCTGTGAACTGGGGAAGACTTCTTGCTGGAAGTTAGTGCTTCCAGAGTGATTTCGGGAAACCAGAAACAAGTTGAATAGAAGGGTTTGCTGCTAATATGTAGTTCTCCTCCCCCCTCAGCTTCAAAAGTTTGGGGGAAGAATAATGAGTTCTGTTTGTTACTGTTGCCTGCTGTAGGTCTCCCTGCCCTACAATGTTAACTTGTCTCCCAGAAAAGAAAATTCAATTTTGTATGACTCATGACAGCTTTTATTTGTACATTTATAGGCCCAAAATTCAGGGGAGAAAGTATTTAAATAAAATCAAACCATTTTGGGTAGAAAGCCCAGGGAAGAACAGCCTGTCTTGCTTCATTTTCTCATTTCAGAGACCTACAACTCCAGCCTGGGTTGGGTCGTGTTTTCTGTGGGTTAGGATGCACCTGCAGTGATTTGCAGGTTGATTTTACCCTGTAAATTGGAAGACATTGAGAGTTTCCTCAGGGCAGTGGCGTGTCTCTCCTCAGCAGAGCAGCCAGGATCCAGCAGCGTGCTCTGTTTGGTGATGTCTATTTGTATCTGTTTCCAGAGCCATGGAGGACTTGGAAAATAACACCACCGTCTTCTCCACCCTGAAATCCCTCAACCACTTCATATCTCAGCGTATGGAGGGGGTGAGTGGGCTGGCCCCACCAGGACCATCTCAAAGCTCCTTGCAGATCCAGTACCAGCAGAGGATGCAGGTGAGGTGTCCTCATCAGTGTGCTTGTGTGCTCCTTTTGACTCCAGGAATTGGGATTGATTTCATTCAGATCTGACCGTTCTTTCTGAAACTGATGTTCATGCAAGCTCACTATTGGAAGCTTGCTTTTGGTCAACATTCTGAATTTTTTCCAGA